ATCTTGTCATTTCCACTAGAACAGGCTGACCTTGGGGGTCAGGGTGTGCCTGAGGCAGTGAGGTTGTGTGTGTCTGGTATTCCTGGTTGGCTGGAAGCAACAACATTGTCCCCCAAGTCCACAGTCCTTTTACTTGTTACAAAAGGAAGAACAGGACTGAAATGGAATCGCTTGCCCCCACAAGAGGAAGAAAATGAACCAAGACTTCATTATGGTTTCGGCTCTGCCTGGGAAGGTGTCCTTCAACTGGTCAATCTGGAAGGAACTGAGCAGGGCTAGTGAGAGTAGTCTACATGAGAAGTCCCTGCCTTCTTCCCAGAGGAAAGTGATCTTGCTGCAAATAAGCCTTTCTTTGCCTTTGACTTCCTTGTCCCATGCTGTTCTGCCTTTAAAAACCTAATTTCATCCAGGCTCAGAGCTCCCTTCTGTTTGCAGGAGAGGCTGCTGCCCGATTCGCGAATCATTGAATCAACTAAATTAGATCTTAAAATGTACTCGGTTAAATTTAGTTTGTTGTTGTTGTTTTTTTTTAAACCCGTGTCAGCTTCCTTTCTCTCTGAAAGGTAAGGAGCCTCTTGCAGGAGGTGGCATTTCTGAATATGCCCTCCGCAGACCCCAAGGTACCTTCCACCAGCAGAAGCAAGTAGTAAAATGGCAGGATTACTCTTCCTTCTCAAGGAGGAGTGCAAACAACTCCAAAGCTAGGCCCTGCCACCCCTAAGGGAAAGCAAAAATGAGGCGAGACAAAACAGGCAGAAGACATGAATCGATGTTTCTGCAAGAAGACATCCAAATGGCCAACAGAGATACATGAAAAAGTGCTCAACATCACCAAGCATCAGGGAAATACGCATCAAAACCACAGTGAGAAACCACCTTACCCCAGTCAGAATGGCTAAAATTAACAAGTCAGGAAACGACAGGTGTTGGCGAGGATGCGGAGAAAGGGGAACCCTCCTCCACAGCTGGTGGGAATGCAAGCTGGTGCAGCCACTCTGGAAAACAGCATGGAAGTTCCTCAAAAAGATGAAAATAGAGCTACCCTATGGCCAGCAATTGCACTACTGGGTATTTACCCTAAAGGTACAAATGTAGTGATCTGAAGAGGCTCGTGCACCCGAATGTTTATAGCAGCAATGTCCACAATAGCCAAACTACGGAAAGAACCTAGATGTCCATCAACAGATGAATGGATAAAGAAGATGTGGTATGTAATACAACGGAATATTATGCAGTCATCAAAAAAACCCCGAAATCTTGCCATTTGCAACAATATGAATGGAACTAGAGGGTATTATGCTAAGTGAAATAAGTCAATCAGAGAAAGACAGTTAACATATGATCTCACTGATATGAGGAATTGGAGAAACAAGACACAGGATCATAGGGAAAGAGAGGGGAAAATGAAATAAGATGAAACCAGAGAGGGAGACAAACTATAAGAGACTCAATCTCAGGAAACAAACTCAGGGTTGCTGGGGAGTGGGAGGGAGGGATAGGGTGGTTGGGTTATGGACATTGGGGAGGGTGCTATGGTGAGTGCTGTGAATTGTGTAAGACTAATGAATCACAGACCTGTACCCCTGAAGCAAATAATACATTATACGTCAATTTAAAAAAATAATGAGTTTCCATGGGCAGAACCCATCTCTTAGCACATTGCTTTCACTTGGGCTTTTACTCCAAAGAAGTATTACATCATGATAATAGATCTTAAATACATATATATAATATATATATACTTATATATAATATGTATTTTTACTATAACACATATTATACTTAGAATACACATTACATATATATAACATTATAATACATATATTTTCAATATATATTTACATGCATGCACACATACATATATAGTTTATTATGGTAAAATATACAGAGCATAAAGTTTACTGTTTCAACTACTTGTAGGTATACACTTCAGTGCCATTAAGTCCATTTACAAATATGTGCAACCGTCACCACTATCCATCTCCAGAACTTTCTTCTCATCCCAAACAGAAAGTGCACCCATAAAACACTAATTCCTCATTTCTCCTCCTCCAGTCCCTAGTACCCTCTATTTTATTTTCGGCCTCAAAGAATTTGCCTGTTTAGGTTCCTCATGTACGTGTCATCACACGAATTTGTCCTCTTGTGGATAGCAGATGTTTCCGACAGACAGAAAGGAGGAAAAGAAAGTGAGATAAGCCAAATGCAGCTTACCTTGGGTCTTTTACTCCCTGTTGCATGTGTTGACTTCCCTGTCACTGCGGGATCATCCTTCCTTCCCTGAATGTCCATCGTTGTGGTATCACTAGGCTCCTCTCCAGAGCTGATTATGCCACTCATCTTGTTTCCCTCCTGTTTTGCCCAGAGACTGGTTTCTCCTTTGCTGACTTCATTAGCTGAGCTGAAAAACAGGGATGCATCCCCACTCATGGCACAAATCATGGATAGTGGTGATGGTTGCACATTATTGCAAACAGACTTAATGGCACTGAATTGTATACCTACAAGTAGTTGAAACAGATAGTATGCTCTTGTGAGGTCTGGCTGGGTTGGGGCAGGCAACTGCCAGGCTTCTAGTCTCCTATGAGGCTGTCTTGGCCACAGTGGAGCCTTGTGTGTGACCAATGGGTACTGGGAACAATCCTGACCAGCTGAAGTGGTGAGTTGTTCCTAAGGCTTTCACTGCCCTTGGGCCCTGGGGAGTGGAGCATCCTGTGACCTGGAAGATGAAGTTCCCCATGAAAATGAAAACCAGCCTCTGCTTTTCCAGAATGGTTTTTGGCTAGTACTTATCAGTAACTTTCTCAGAATCGAACAATTGGCTAGGCAGTCTTGGAAAGCCCATCCTCAGCATTTAATACTTGGGAAATTCTACTTCCAGAATTCTAATCCTAGAGGTTTCCAGTAGGTTTTTAGTGTTTCTTATTTGAAAAGAAATCTGTCCTTGAGCTTTCTTTCTAATTGTAGAGACACTCTTCCAGGAGATGCGCCTCCTTATCTGTGACTGGTGAATGTGTATGTCCAAATTTATAGGATGTCCGCATAACAGGCCGTAGGCCAGCCTACTCACCTATTGGTGAAGATGATGTTAAAGTGACTTCAAAAGGAACTGACCAAATATTACCATCTTGGTCTAAATTCCTCTAGTGCCATTACAAGAACGCTTTTCTTGTCTTGGACTTGTCCAGGCTACCACTTAGTACAGTTTGCTTTTTGTATTTTGACTTTTTCTTGACCAGTAGACTGACTGATTTACTTTGCATAACATTCTTTCTCTCCTCTTCCTCTTGATCCCTCTCCTTTTTTATATATTCCTGGGAAAGCTTTTGCTTTGCCCCTTGATTTCATTATTTTTCTGTGTCTTGCTAGTAACATAGTGGAAAATGGACACAGGGTTTGGTGTTAGAGACACTGGTCTTTATTTACTTTTTTTCAAAGATTTTATTTATTTATTTGACAGAGATCACAAGAAGGCAGAGAAGCAGGCAAAGAGAGAGGAGGAAGCAGGCTCCCCGCTGAGCAGAGAGCCCGGTGTGGGGCTCTATCCCAGCACCCTGAGATGAAGACCTGAGCCGAAGGCAGAGGCTTTAACCCACTGAGCCACCCAGGCGCCCTGAGACACTGATCTTTAAAGTCTGACTGTGCTTTACTGGCTGTGTGACCTTGGGGAAGTAACTTAACCTCTTTACGACATAGATTTCTCCTTTGTGAAATAGAAGAAGATGATTTGTTATTTGCAGGAATGTTGATAGGATAACTCAAAATAATTTGTAAAAGTATCTGGTACATAGGAGAGCTGCACTCATTGACAACCCTCCATCCTTTCACCTCTTTCCTTCCTCCTCTTCCTTCCTCCCTTCCTCTCTTCCTTCCTCCCTTCCTCTCTTCCTTCCTCTCTTCCTTCCTCCCTTCCTCTCTTCCTTTCTCCCTTCCTCTCTTGCTTCCTCCCTCCCTTCCTTCCTTCCAGTTTAATGTAAGCCCTTCCCAGTCTGCCTTCAGCCTATCTGAATTCCTGAGACAGAACCCCCCAAATCCACAGTCCTTTCAGGTCCAAACAACTCTGGTCTCCAAACAGCCAGTGGTCAGCAAAGGTGGGGTGGTTGACAGCTAGTTTATCAACTGGCTTTGATACTGGATCCCAATGTCTTCTGAGAGAGCAGAGACTGCCTGGAGCTGTCCCTTAGCCACTCCATCTAGGCTGTGCCAGGGAGGGGGTGTTCCAGAGAACCTTCCAGCACATAAAGGACAACACACCTGTGACTTGGTTCCACAACCTAGAAGTGACACAGGACAAAGCCAAGCAACTAAGGCGGGTACGATGCGGTTGGTTTTACCCCCGCAGAAGGTATTCTTTTAAGTAATCCCAGACAAACTCACCTACCTGTTGTTATGGGGATAGGCAACTCTGAGATTCCTTCCCCAAGAGAGACTGGGGCGCTGCTGGAGTGCGTCCAAGCTCCCTAGGGGCGAAGGGACGTCGTGCACTCTGCCCTAGGAAACTAAGTCAAGGCTTCGGTTTCTAATGGTGGAAACTTTGTTTTGGTTGGCAGCTTCTCCCCAGCATCCACCTGGATCTGGATTCGACCCCCGCAGCATAGCTGTGATGGGACAGCAAACCCTCGCCTCAAGAATACAAGGTGATGATGGGGTGGGACGAATTCCAGTAAAGTCCTCGGAGTGGGACTCCCCGTGGAGCAGCCAGCTGAGGTCACGCTCGGGTTAAGTTTTAGGCCCCCGCGGGGGCGCGCAGAGTTCTATGCAGACAAATCCCAGTGACTCAGGAGGACCGTTCCCCATTTCAGGCAGTTGCACGGATGCTAAAACCGCCGCTTGGGGCGTCTGGGGCCCGGAATTCGTCGTCCTCCAGGTCTGCGTTTTCCTCCCGTGTTTCAGCCCCCGACAGCACGACTGCGTCTGGGTCCCCAGCGAAGGCAGGGCCTGATTTCGGGGAAGACCCCGGGGAGAGGGGAGCCCGGCTGCTCCCGGCTGTCCCAGCCCGCGGTCACCGAGGGCTCGGAGGTGGGCGCCGGGGACACGGGCGCGGGGGCTGGAGCAGTGCGGGGGCCCCAGCTCGTGCCGGCTCGCGTCCTCCGCGTCTCCCAGCAAGCGGCAGGCTCGGGAGCGGCGCTTCGCTTACCCCAGGGGCCTTCTCAGATTGCGGCGGCAGCCCGGGATTTTGGCGGGGGGTGGGGTGGTGGTGGCGTGGCAGCGTCAGGGCGCCGCTTCCCCCTCCGCGCGCCCTCTTTCCGCCGCGGCGGCGCGCGCTGACCTGGCACGCCGATCCGCGCGAGCTGGAGCCCACGCGCCGCGCTCACCTGGCGAGCTGGGGTGAGGCAGCGGCCCCGGCCCGGGGCGCAACGGGAGCCCGGGGTGGGGGCACGCCGGCGAGGGGAGGCTGTCGGAGCGGGGCGGGGTACGAGGGGAGCCCGAGGCAGGGGCACGCCGGCGGGGCGAGGCTGCTGGAGAAGTGAGGTGGCGCGAGGGGCTCGGGAGAGGCTTTGCGCGAGTCGGGGGGGGCCCTGCCTGGGCAGGGTAGTGCAGAGGCCCCTGGGGGAAACGTAGGAAGGGGCTCCTCTGCGCGGGGTGGCGGGTTTTTATGGAACTCACTTGCAAAAGGGAGGGACCGTGAGCTCGGCTTGGATCCGGAAGGCTCGGGAGCGGGACCTTCAGGCACTTTATCGCTTGGCGACTTTCAGAGAGCACAGAGCCTGCACCCTGCGTGGACCCAGGCTCTGTGTTCCCAGCGCGTTGGCTTTTCTCGGTTACCCAAAAGCGCGCACACAGATGGCGAAGGCCCGCGGAGGAGCTCCTCCCCAACACACCCAAACCTAGGGTTAGCTGGTGGCAAAAGCCAAACTTTTTGCTACTTCTCCGAGCTGGGTGAGAGCGGGAGAACGCGGCATATTGGGTGGTCGAGCGCCCATGTCAAGTCCACCTGCTGAGATTGCAGCGGGAAAAGCGGAATTGCTGCATTTCACCCCCGCCCCCTCCAGCCTAGCTGTCGCTGCGCGGTGAGGTTTGCTACCCCCACCTCCTGCGACTACTGATGCTGTCAGCTTGGAGAACGTGGAGAACCTTCGGAAGAAGGGTTGTTCGGCCCTAAATGGAAATTAAGACTAGCAGGAAGGGGCATATTCCAGAACTGTGCTTACTACGTGATTGCCGTGGAACTTGGAAGGATGTTTGAATTGCAGATGGGGTGGGAAAGTTCAGAGGGCTGAGGGTCAGCAAATTCAAGTTTCCTATACTCTGTCCTCAGGCCGAATAGCAGTGAGGTTTTGGCAAGTCAAGAAACCTCCTGGAATCTGTTTGCCTGTGTGAGAAGAGCGATAATCCCTGCCCTACCACATTGGATGATTTGTAAAGAGGGAGGGGAATGTTTTGAGAAGTATGTAGAGTGGTTTCTGTAAATGACGGTTATCACCGCATTGCTCCCCACACTTCCCTCCTGGCCGCCGGCAGAACCTCATTTGGAGGGGACTTAAGGCCGCGGGAAGTGCAGGCAAATTTTCCTGCTTACCTGTCCAAAATGTCGGGATGCGTCTGTTTCTCCGTGTGTTGTAGTAGTTCTTCTTCCCAGCACGACTACCTGACACTGCGCATCACAGTGTGACATCAGGAGACAGGAACTTTGCTTTCCTCCTCTTCTTTAGGGCCTGAGGGAGAGGCTAAGAAAGTTGAGGAAAATTGGTAGTGACCAGTGGGAGGTGGGGGGAGGGTTAGATTTGATTTGCCATGCTCTTCCTGAGAACATTTAACTCTGAAAACCTTCGCTTTCTGAAGTTGGAGTTCTTGTTTTCTGATACGGGAAGACTCTGTCAGGGCAGAGGATAAATATGCAAAAATCAGCATTTCAATTCAAATGATCTTTAGAGGAAGATTAGTAAAGAGCTAGAGAAAAGAGTACAGTTGCTTGCTCGCAGGTTTTCTCCACCCCTCTGCGGCACACAAATAATAGCATTGCCAAATTTAAATAGTTTCCCTTGTTACTAAATTTAGATCCATATTTCTGATATGGAAAGGAAAAGATTCACAGGGTTGGTTGTGTTACCGTTAGAATTTAAGCAGTTCCTTTTAAATAAGCATGTCCAATCTTCTAGCCATTATAAACGTGAGCAATACTAATGCCTCTGTGTTTTATTGTATGTATCTTTTCTAAAAAGATAAATAAGGTAAGCTTGTCAAGGTCACCAAGCTCTCTGATTGGTTTTTCGTTTTAATTAAAAGTAGTTGAGAGGTGACTCATTTACGAAGTGGGGTAATAAAACTAGGTCTCCTTAGTTGTGCTGTGGTGAACTGAACTGGAAGTTTTTCTAAAATAACACTAATGGTGTTGAATATTGTGTGCCGGATTGAGAATTCATTTAGTTCTCACAACAGTCCTTAAAGAAACTGAAGCACAGAGAGGTTAAATGCCTTATCCAAGGTCACACAGCTAGTAAGGAGTTTCTCAGGTTGGCATAAAAATTACATTTGATTGGGACCCTGGTGTTTTTTCCTTAACTTCTGCACTGTGTTTTATCCCACACATACAGCAGCATGAGGGGGAGATTGGGGGCTCTGGAGCCGGGTTCCACGTCCTAGGGCTGAGCTTGCTGTTGAATTGCTGTGTGGGCTTCACATTACTTCCTTTCTCTGGGCCCCAGTTTTCTCATCCACAAAATAATCTCAATCCTATTGAATATTGAACGGAGGCTGTAGTTCTCACTGGAACATGAAGTGTGAACTGTGAAAGAGAAACATTTCCAGTATGTAACAAACTGCAGAAATGATTCCTAAAAGTCTAGTCTTCACTTCCAGTATGTAAAAGGAAGTTTCAGAGACAAGTGTTTTTGCTGTTTTCAACATAGGCTGGAACATGACAAAGGGGAAAAAGCCAAAATAATCTACACACTTCAATGTGATCTGCCCAACAATTAATATGTGGAAATTATTTAAAAAAAATACTTTAGTTCTGTTCTTGGATCCTTAGTTTTACACTTAAAGAGGTAAGTGTAAATTAGACCTCAAAGTTTTTTTGGGCAGGTCACCCATGACCAGCAGATGCTTTCGTCTTGTTGATTTCAGGAGCTAAAGACCAGAGGTTGGGGTGGCCTTAAACTCTTCCACATTCTTTTATTTCAGCAACTTGTAGTGGGTCAGAAAACAACTGTGCAGGAAATACATGTAATGTACTTCCTTATTCTCTCTTTATTTGGCGATTATTCTTAGAAACTAGCTTGAGGATGGCCATTTTAAATATGATGGGTCAGGAGAGTTGAACTTCCGTTTATGCACATTTTGAGGGTATTTTAAGCAATATGGCTCAATTGTCTAATCATTTCAACTGTCCTACGACATATATAAAATGGTTTTTTTTTGTTGTTGTTGGTTTTGGTTTTGGTCTCATTCTTAGTTTAAACTCTTGGTCCCTGTGGGGATTGGGGCCCAGGGAGGTATAAGCATGCCCATGTCACTGACATTGCCAGCAGCCCCTTCGTGCTTGATAAATTTTGATATTCTGGAGAGATGTTTGGATCCATGAGATTTAAAGGTCTTTCCCTCATCCCTGCACTGTTGCAGGTAAGAATGTGAACTTGGAAGCAAGACTGCCTGGGTGTGAAATGCTCCAGTTTCAAGCTATGCCTCGGGTCCTAGTGTTGTTATAGCTACCTCATAGATTGTTAGAAGGATCAAGTATGTGTGTGTGTAGAAAAGTCTAGAACAGGGCCAGTCCCATAGTAAATGCCGTGTAAGTGTTAGTTAGGAACTGATGATGATGGCTAAGATAATAGAAGACGAGTGCTCTGGGGCAAAAAAAATAAATAAATAAAAATAAAAAATAGGGCAGTAAACCAGGATAGTGTATATTTTAGGGATGAAGTTTTAAAAAGGGTGATGAGGAAAGTCGCATTCCAAAGGCAAATTTGAATAAAGAAGTGAGTGCAAGTAGAAGCGTATAGGGGGATGCAGGGGTGCAGAAGTGTATAGAGGTGTAGGAATGTAGAGGTAATAGAGAAGTAGGTCAGAGAGGTAACTCAAGGTTACATGGACAGATACAGCAATGTTGAAGTTTTTTCTTTTTTTTTAATTTAAAACTTTTTTGTTTTTAATTTTTTAAATTAAAATTCAGTTAATTAACATATAATGTATTATTGGTTTCACAGGTAGAGGTCAGTGATTCATTAGTCTTATGTAATACCCAGTGCTCATTACTTCATGTGCCCTCCTTAATATCCGTCACCCAAGCCCCTCCCCTCCAGCAACTCTCAGTTTGTTCCAGTTTGTTCCCCATGACTAAGAGTCTCTTAGGGCTCATCTCCCTCTCTGGTTTCATCTTGTTTTATTTTTTCCTCTCTTCCCCTATGATCCTTTGTTTTGTTTCTTAAATTTCACATATGAGTGAGGTCATATCATTGTCTTTCTCTGATTGACTTATTTCACTTAGCATAATACCTTCTAGTTCCACCCACATCATTGCAAATGACAACATGTCATTTTTGATGGCTGCTTAATATTCCATTATATATCTATACAACTTCTTTATCGATTCATCTGTTGATGGAATTTTTCTTTTTTTTTAAAGATTTTATTTATTTATTTGACACACAAAGAGATAGAGAGAGAGAGAGAGCACAAGCAGGGGGAGCAGCAGGCAGGCAGAGGGGGAAGCAGGTGCCCTGTTGAGGAAGGAGTCAGATGTGGGGTTCAATCCCAGGACCCTGGGATCATGACCTGAGATGAAGGCAGCTGCTTAACCAACTGAGAAACCCAGGCGCCCCTTTAATTTGTTTTTTTTTAACTTTTTTTTTTTTTTTTTTGAGAGAGAGGGCATACACATGTGCAAGACGGGGTGGGGGATGGGCAGAAGGAGAGAGAGAAGCTCAAGCAGACTCCAGGCCCAGTGTGGAACCCTACCAGGGTCTTGATCTCACAACCCTGGGCTCCATCTCACAAAGCTGGGATCAAGATCTGAACCAAAATCAAGAGTTAGATGCTTAACTGACTAAGCCACCCCGACACCCCTGTTTTTGTTCTTGTTTTTTAGCTTTTACCTAGGGAGTTTGCTTATGGAAAATTTCAAACTAGAAGTAAAGGGATCAGTACATGTACACTTCTCCCATTTTCAACAATTCTTGACATGGCCAATTGGGTTTCACCCATAACTTCTGCTGGCACTTCCCACTGGATTATTTCAAAGCAGATGTCAGAAATTCTATCAATGATTTTTACATACGTCTGTATATACTTCTCAAGGATAGGCACTTAATCACACAGAAGCACAATACTTGGGGCGCCTGGGTGGCTCAGTGGGTTAAGCCTCTGCCTTCGGCTCATGTTATGATCTCAGGGTCCTGGAATCGAGTCCCACATCAGGCTCTCCTGCTCAGTGGGGACCCTGCCCACCCCCACCCCCCCCCGCTGGCCTCTCTGCCTATTTGTGATCTCTGTCAAATAAATAAATAAAATCTTTTGAAAAAATTAAAAACAGAAGCACAATACTTAACTGTGTTGATTTTGTTTCCCATCTGTAAGTTGGGACCAGCAGAACCTCCCTCTCAGTGCTAGTTTCAAGATGGGGATGTCGATGTCTGGACCATTGTGTAGGGTCCAGCGACCGGTGCCCCATTGCTGGTTGCCGTCACGTTCATGATATCATCTTTACCAGCCATTGGTTTTTGTTTTTTTCTCTTTTCTTTTTCCAGATAGGTCAGTGGAGGCAATTTCACTTCTACTTCCCCTTTCCTCTCTGTACCTAGTTTAGGCACCCATATTCTGTATTCCCTTTATCTATGCTCTATTTTTCCCTTCACTTGCAGTGCCTGTGTTTGCAGCCTGACTTACAGTCAGTTGCCCTCTGAGCCCCCGAGCCCATGCCATACCAGTGCTCTCTAGGCTTCCTAGATCTTTTTAGAAGGGAGATGGGAACTTCTTCCCACTTCATTTTTTTGGACAGCATTATTGAGATGGAGCTAGAGTTCACATAACATACAATTCACCCATTTTTAAAGTGTACAGTTCAGGGGCGCTGGGCTGGCTCGGTTGGTTAAGCATCCAACTCTTGGTTTCAGCTCAGGTTGTGACCTCAGGGTCATGGAATCGAGCCCCGCCTCGGGTTCCATGCTCAGCTTGGCATCTGCTTGGTATTTGCTCCCTCTTCCTCTGCCTTCCCCCTCTCAAACAAATAAATATATCTCTAAAAAATGCCACTTATAAAGTGTACAGTTCAGTGGTTTTAGTATATTCACAGATATGTGTCATCATTGCCACAGTAAATTTTAGAACATTTAGAGCCTCAAAAATGTACCCTGTACCCTTTAGTTATCACTCTTTATGTTCTCATTCCCTCCTTCCTCCACTAATCTATGTTCTGTCTCTATGGATTTACTTATACTTGACATTTCATTAAAAAGAAGTATCTATCAATATGAAATATCTTTCGTGACTGGCTGTTTCACTTTGTATAACGTTTTCAGGGCTCACCCATGCTGCGGCACGTCTCAGTGTATCACTTCTTACTGTGGCCGGATAGTACTGCATTGTCTGGTGGTCACACACTTTGCTTACCCCTCTGTCAGTTGATGGACATTGGGGTAGTTTCCACTTTTTGGCTATTGTGAATTATGCTCCCATTCACATTTGTGCACAAGTGCCTGTGTGAACATCTGCTTTCATTTTCTTGGTCATGTACCCAGGAGAGGAATTGCTAGGTCAAATAGTAACTGTATGTTGAACCATTTGGGGAACTGCCAGACTGTTTTCTGACATGGCTCCCTATTTTATTTTGCCCAAACTTGGGAGACTTGCCATCATTTAAGGGTAGGTGCCTACACTTACTGTGTGTGAATGTTTGTATTAATATTTTTATAAGTCTTATTCAGTTGTCTAATATTCATGGATAGATAATTTTTTTTGTTTATCATTGTTTTTTATATAGAAGGTTTTAACTAAACCATTATTTGTATGGTGGTAGGTACCTTTAGGATACAAGATGATTTATTGGAAGAAAGAACAAAATTCTATTTTCATGAATTTTTAAGTTACATGATATATTAGAATAGCTGTGCACATATAAGGTTTATAAATAAATAGTTCCATACTGGAGATGTAGGTACAATAATTTTGTTTGTTTGTTTTTTATAAATAGATATAATCATAAAACTCCAGGCATGGTGTTCTAAAAACATGGAAGCAAGTATAGTGGCGTGGTTCTTAATCCTTCATTTTGTGACAGATCTCATGGGAAAATTCTTAAAATTACTTTGCCAGTGAAATTGCAAACATCCTAATTTGAGCCCATATGGCACATGTAAATATCACTGGAAGGAGCTTTGGATCTGGTCAGACTTTTGGTTTTTTGTTCTATGTCTGGTAGTTATTCATGGTAAGGCTTTGGGCAAGTCCCCTAACGTTCTTTATTTCAGTTCCCAAATCAGCATAGTAAAACCTGAGATAATTCGTGTTATCGTCACGTAGAATGAGAGTGGTTAAGTGTGACATACACAGACACAGGAAGTTAGTCATTTGTGTATCTTGGGCAACCTTGCAGTTTTCTTAGGCAAAATATCTATGTTCCTTGGTCTTTGCCTTTGTTGGGTCTTCCCCTTCTCACCCCACCCATTTGTCATAATTGCTTTCTGTCCTTCCCTGGTGTTCTTTTGACAGCAGACTTTCAAAATTAAGGGTCATTGTTGAAGGTCAGTTTGGTCAGGTTGGAGTCCCTGGGATGCCACTGCCACTGTTGCAATATAGCTCTGTCACCTTCCGGGCGCTCTTCATGTTAGAACACAGAGTTCGTCATGTGTCATTCAGTGGCGGTAACCTTGTAGCTGTCGGAAAATGGCGGTTTGCTCTGATTCCTGGCCGCTTTGTGGAAGCCGTGGAGTCGCTTGACTGGGCATCTTAATGGTTTCTGTTTGGTAAATGATAGTGTGAGTCTGTTTAAAGTCTAAGCTTGCAGGGAAGTAGGTCAGGAAAGAGGAAGAGGACCAGGGAACTGTGTTAACCTCAAACAGCTTACACGCTGACTGTTCACTTGCATTTGTTTATTATTGAGCCTGCTCGGTAAGCCACCATAAAATCGGCATAAATGAATCTTACCTTTCACCTCCACTCTTATTTGTGATTTCTAGTCTCTAACTTCCTTTATTCCAAGGGTTGACAGGAATTTTAGGTCATGATCTCCAATTTCTTCTAATGATGGACATATATTCTTGACTTTCTTTCTTGGGCAACAGAAACAACCAACAGAACCATACTTAGGTAGTGTTTGTTCATTCATTCATTCTTTTTTTTTTTTTTTTTTTGAATTTATTTATTTATTTATTTGACAGACAGAGTTCACAAGTACTCAGAGAGGCAGGTGGAGGGGGGAGGGGGGAAGCAGGTTCCCGGCTGAGCAGAGAGCCCTATGTGGGGCTCAATCCCAGGACCCTGCGATCATGACCCAAGCCGAAGGCAGAGGCTTTAACCCACTGAGCCACCCAGGCGCCCCTCATTCATTCCTTCATTCATTTTATTCACACTCAAAGAATATATTTGCTGAGCACCTATGATGTGCCCCTGTTCTAGCTTCTGGGAACAAAATAGTGTCCCAAGTACAATTTTTTTAAACAGTTACCCTCAGAGATTTTACATTCTAGCAGGTGTCAGTCTTTGAGATTGAATGAAACGGGGAGTCATGCTAAGGAGTAAGAAGAAAACTAGAGGTGGGTAGGGGGAGAGGAATTACTGGCTGGGACAGTGGCCATGACTTACATGGGGGGCCATGGAGGCGTTGCTGAGAAGGCAGCATTTAAGATGAGTCTTTAATGCTCCCAGTAAGTATTCAGTCCGTAGTTAGTGCTCAGGCAGAGAAAATCTAAAATCCTAAATCTGACATGCTCATGTATATTCATCCGATTGTTAGGGGTCCTAGCAGCTAAGAGCTGCTCTTCTGCCATCAAAGTGCTGGCCGGTTAGGGTCTGAAAGACTTTTGTGAGGTCACTATAGAGGTCATGGTGGTTTCTGCCCAACTGAGTCATCCATCCCTTTTGCAAAAGTGGCATCTTTGCAGTCAACCCTGGGGCTCTGAGTTTGCCCTCATGATACAGTCATTCTCAGCAGAACCACTGATCTTGAGGGGCAGAGAATCACCCAGAATGACTGGACAGGGAAGTCTCTCTCTTGTCTAGGACCTCTGCTGCTGCACGTATGTTAACTAGTAATCTGGCCCGTGCTCTACCTCAACAGGAAAATCTCAATAGAAATGGCGGTAAGCTTCGCGCTCTGAATTCTCCTCCTTTAAAATCTTTTTGAAAATTGATTTTATCTTTGTACCTAAGCCTCTCTGATTCAAAAACCCCATTTGTGACAGTCGGAAGCATTTCGGGAAGACGCCAACCATTGTTTGGGCCCATATTACCTACTGCCTGTCAGCACTGAAATGTGTGAATGTTTGGGTTTAGTCACCGTCTCCCCTCTAACCAGAACATAAATGACTGGAGGAATCATGGAGCTTATTTTACTCCAGTGCTTCCAGAACAAAAACAATGCCAGCCATGTAGTAGGTGCTCAGTAATTATTTGTTTAATCGAATAATTGACAAACCACAAGCAAGGTGACAACGAGCAGCACAATGATATAATGGTATCTCACCAAAGATCAAGCAGTGGAGATGTTGACCTCTGGGACTAGGGCCTGGACTTTGTTTCTAATCATTGCCCTCTCCTGTGGCCATCTTCCTCCCAGAGAAACTCGTGCTCCTTAATGAGTGTCCAACCCGGCTTGTCATCCTCTCGAGAAGCCAACATCTGCTGGGTGTTTGTGTGAAACAAAAGCATCTTTCTAGAAGGAAGTGGAGCAAGTACCTGCTTCTGAAATTATTTTTGAAAAGAAAGTCTGTTGTGCTCCATTTTGTGCCGTTAAGTCAATTCCACATCTGGGAGGCTCAGAATTAGCATCACCTTTTTTGAACTATTACCTTTAGTCTATTTATAAAAAAACAACAACAACCCAGGGATCACTGCTACTTATCATTAGTTGGAGGCTATGCATTCACTTCTGTAATTGTCTCCCACACACAAGGACAGCTATGACGTGGAGAGAACGGGGCGTAAAACACAACTTCTAGCTTCATTCTCTTGGAAATACATTATCAGGAGCTATGGACTCAGAACTAAAATCGGAACTTGTAAAGAGAAGAGAACTAGTGAGAGAAAATCAACAAAAAGCAACACAGACAAATATGTTCATTGCTATATGTTTTATAATAGTGAAAAACCAAAAATAAATTTCTGTCAGTAGGAGTCTGGCTCAGTAAATCTGGATACATTTATACTATAGAAAGTGGTAAGATAGTTAAGATAAGCACTCTCAAGACCTTGTTGAGAGAAAAAGAAGGTTGTAGATTCTGTACAGGATGAGCCCTTGTGTATGGGTCCCATCTTCTGACCTGTCCTATGTATGTTAATTCATAGGAAGAGGTTGGAAGTGGTTACCAGTGTCCTTTCTGGGAATGAGGTGGAATTGGTGGGTTTGGGCCCATGGGCGTGCTTCACTCATTCTAGGCTTCTGTGTGGGGGGCATTCCATGAAAACACAGTCATGATTCTCATTTGTAATGTTGAAGCCCAAAATTATTGGAGAGGAAAAGACGGGTGATGAAGAGAAATTGGGGCAGTGGGTGAGATTTGAGGTTTGGGGAAGGAAGACAAAGCGCTCGAGATGAATTCCGACAGTCGCCACCAGAGCCCATGATACTTGGTGAGGGGTGATTTGGAGCTTATGTAGTATTGTGCCGTATTATGTGTATCCTGTCTATGTGTATGTGTCACTTTGAAAGGTTTGACCTAGAACAGAAGTCAAGAAAACCCAAGGAATTGTGGTACAGCTTTCCCATGTACCTTCTTTTGGTCTATTTGTAAGTGTTGGGTGAGAAAAATGTCCTATCATTAGAAACACGGATTCACTTCTATCCTTGTACTGATAATTCTGCCACGGTAACAGAACAGGTGTGTCTACCACAGAAGTCCTCTCTCCAGCTCATGATATTATTTCCAGTTTGTTGGATTTTCTTCTTCAGTCCGGAAGTGTGTTGAGTGCCCATAGAGAGCTCTGTGCCTGGTGCAGAACAGACAAGGTCCCTGCTCTCATGGAGCTTATAGGGAGGGGGCAGAGGGGAATGACAGTGAGGAGCTAAAAATATGTCAGGAAGTGAGACGACTATGATGGAAATTAAGCAAGGTGATGTGATAGGGAGTAACTGGGGAACTACTTTAAGAGAGGTAGTTAGGAAAGACTTTTTTGAGGAAGTAATTTATAAACCAATACGTGCAACAAGACTGAAAGGAGTCAGATGTGTGATCAGTTGTGGAAGAGCGGTCCAGGTAGAGGGACTAGAACAGCACCATTAGGATGGGCAAGAGCCCGTGGGACATGAGTTTGCTGCGTGGTTGGGACTTATCGTGGATAGACAGAAATAAGTGAGAGTGGTCTGCAGGACAGGATCATGTCATGCCTTAAGGACAAGGTAAGAATTTTGGATTTTATTACAGATTCTATAGGATCTATCAAGGGCCAGATGGATGACTAGGGGACTGACATCTTATGTAGGCTTTAAAAGATCTCTACATACCTCTTGATTGTAAGTTGAAAAAAAATAGAAACAGGGAGACCCACTGGTCAGATGGAAGGAGACCCAAGTGGGAGAAGATGGTGACTTAGATGAGGGCGGTAGCTATGGATATGAACTTGCTAATGGATGAAAGAGGAAGAGTTAGGGAAAGATAGGATCAGGGATCACTTCCAGATTTTGGGCCTCAGCAATTGGGAGGTATGTTTCCTGAGATGGGAAGACCAGGGAGGAGCAGATTTGGAGGAAACTAGCATCTTTTTGAATGTGTTAGTTTGCCATGTCCCCTGGATGGATGTTGGATAGGCATAAGATATGCTAGCCCGTGGTCCCAGGGGAGGTCAGGAGCAGGGATCCAGGTGGGAGCCATCTGCATACATAACGCTAGTTTTTAAAGCCCTGAAACTGACTCCAAAGTTTCAGTCACCACCTTGCACCCCTGTTCTCCACCCTTCCTTTAAGCTAAGCTCACTTAAGCCAACTGCTTCCATCTCTAGGCCTTCCCCTTGCTGACTTCGATTTTGCTGTTACGATTACTTGAGCCTCATAGAGTGAAGGACAGTGGGAGCGGTAGAAGGACACATGCTGGGCCTGTGATTACGGTGACCAGAGTGCTTCTCTTTGGAGTAGCTCTCGACATTTTAATCATGGCTGTATTTACTGGAGCCAAACAGCGAGCTTAAGAGTGAGCCAACTGGGATGCCTGGGGGGCTCAGTAGGTTAGGCTGCCAACTCTTGATTTCGGCTCTGGTCATGATCTCAGGTTGTGAGATCAAGCCCTGCATCAGGCTCCACACTGGGAATGGAGCCTGTTTAAGATTCTCTCTCCCTCACCCTGTGTTCCCCTTCCTTCTCTCTCTCTCCTCCACCCACTAAAAAAAAGAAAAGAAAAAAGATAGATTCTAGATTCACAGTGTGTTCTTTAGATATTATAAGCGAATCACAAATTTCTACTGAGATTATAATTCAGTATTATAATCCAAGTTACATAAAACAAAGTTTTTAGTGCTAGGGGTTCTCTTCAATTTAACATACCACTTGTCTACTTTGTTGTAATATAATCACAGACTAAATAAAAACAAGAAACTAAGAAACTATGAAAATGTGTCTTTACTTCCCCATGGTATTCCCATTTGGGGTTTGACATTTAATTTTATTGGAATAATGCACAGCTGTCTTACACTTTTATCTGTTTTATCACCAGTATGTATATATGCCTTTATCCTTATGTAAAACAATCTTTGATTATCTTTATGCCTTGAAAACCCTTTCTTGTCCTAACATCATGCTTCTTTTTTTTTAAAAAAAGATTTATTTATTAATTTATTTGACAGAGAGAGAGAGAGCGCAAGTAGGCAGAGAGAGAAGGGGAAGCAGGCTCCCTGCTGAGCGGAGAGCCCGATGCGGGGCTTGATCCTAGGACCCTGAGATCATGACCTGAGCCCAAGGCAGAGGCTTAACCCACTGAGTCACCCAGGTGCCCCCCGACATTGTGCTTCTTGTGTCTGCTACTAGTTGTATTGCTAATTTACTTATTTCTTTATTTATGTGTTTGTTTAGTTATTTCTAATAAATCCAAGGGGAATTGACTGTATTATACAGGGTGAAGTACAAACTTACTAATGTTTTGTTTCTTCTCCAAAGATTTTGGAGTTTAAAATACGACTGTGCTCTTACTTATCTTGAATGATTTTTGCTTGTTGCAGATAGGCTGTCTGCCCCCCACCCCCCAACAACTGGCATTCGGGTGAGTTCAAGGCCCTAATCCAGTAGTAAAGTGGAACTCACACCACCCTGAGCTTGGAAAGATGGTGTCACAGTCTACAGGCCGACACAATTCTCCAGTGGACTCATGGGACAGGGACAACAATGACCCTGGCGACATTGATGTTTCCCCCAGCCTCCTGGACACTGACCAGCCTCCTTGCCACTCAGACGTCAGATTCATGAGGCACAAAGCTGCCTGGATTAACTCCCAGTGTGAGCAGCAACAGTCTCAGGATTCGTCCCCTCGGGTGCCAACAGTGAGGAAGAGTGGGAACCACTTTGGAGGGGACACAGCCTTGCCCCTCAACCCCTCACCATTGTTTCTCGGGGACTCCATGGTGGAGACATCACTGTCAAAGGATACCGCAGACTCTGCCCAGGGCTCAGGGGACAAGAGCAGCGACCTTTCTTTTACCTCAACAGAAGAGCAGGCGGTGTTCCTAGGACACTCTCCTCAGATGTCTTTGTTCACAAGCTCCTCTCCTTGTCCTGAAGTGGACCGTGCTTTTCTGCAGCCTTCCCAACTGACAGCTTCTGTGGATGAAGGTAACCCCCTTCAGGAATTTACCTCATTCCTGTCTGTTGCCATGCCGGCCTTGCTTGGTCTAAAGCTCGTCTGATAGTCTTTGTCATGAGAAAAAAGTCATGGTTTTCCACTTTGCTCAGAGGCTGGCTCATTAGCTCATTTAATATTGTCTCCAGCCCAGCTGTCCGGATGGTCACAATGGGTAAAATCAGGTATTTCCGTTCTCCTTCGATAGCAAGGGGGTGCCATCTTTGCTCGGCTTAGTTGATAATAATCAGTGCTAGCTGCCATCTTTGAGCTGATGTGTGCTTCCAGGAGCTTCTGGCCCATGCAGTTGTCTGAAAAAGAATATTGGAGGCGCTCTCAATTCAGCGTGGTGGGGTGGGGTGGGGGGGGTGGGGAGTGTTTCCAGACAGAGTGGGTTCCGTTTCACATGGGTACTTTCCTAGGAGATGCACTTGCTGCCTCACCTCTATTTACCTTAATGGAGTGTGACTAGAAAATAGTAAGATTTAAAAATGGTAATAACAAGTCCCCCAAAGACTTTACAAAAGGTTTTTGTTTTTGTTTTTTAATTAAAGCCAGGGTTCTCATTGCTCTGAAGTAACTCACACATTCTTAAAAAACTGGAATTCCTAAAATAAGATAATGCCTGCAAAATGCCACTCAAGAGTCAATAAGTTATCTATTACTGTGCTCATTTGTGGCATTCTGATTTTTAAGAAAATATTCATTACATTATATTCACACTGCGTCGATCTGCATTTCTCTCAGAATCCTAGTTCAAATAGTTGATGAAGTTTTTTTCTTTCAAAACAGTTTGAAAGCTGCCCGCCTGCCTGTGTGTGTGTGTCCGTATGTGTGTACATATGTGGGTAATTTATTTATTTCTTACCAGCAAGAACCAGCCCTCCCCCTTCCCGAAAATATGCGGTTTATTTGTTCTATTGGAAAAACTTTTGGAAAAGTCAAAGATGATGATATTCTTTAACATATTATTCATAGCTTAAGCATAGCAGATTTTGGACAATCTTAAAATGGGCTAGTTTTGAAATAAGAACCAAATTTGGGCAAAATGACACACTCTACAGCAAGTGGTTCTGCAATTTAAAATTATCCTGTAGCGTTGTCTTTCTCCCAGAAAGAAAACAGTTGCCCCAGCCCCTTTTGTCCCAAGACAATAATCTCCAGCAATTTTTGTAAGTACTTTTAAAAGCCACTGCATCTTAAACTTGGTAGGAGGATGCTGCTTATGGAATTAAAAAAAAAAAAAAAAAAAGAAGTCCCCAGCCATCTGGTCTCTTTGCTGTGGGACTGCAATGCAAAGACAAGGCATTTGCAACTAAGACACAGAATTTTCCCTGTGACTGCTTCGTCACAACTGACAGCAGCACACTCTTCCTTTTCTAGATAATATGGTAGAGGAAGACCCACCCGCCCACTCCCCCAGCCTAGCATTTCCTGAGGCTCCAAGAAACCAATCCTCAGTTCCTTTTGTTTGCAGGGCGCATTCACATTCCTGGCCTCCTTCAATCTCCTAATAGCTACCTCTCCTAGTGCAAGAAATGAGTGTATTTTAACACAGAGGCCAGCTGGTGTAGAGAGAGCTAGAACTGGAATCCGCAGCTTGATTTTCTTCTGTCCCGTTTCTTCCTCAGGGTCCAAAAACTATGACCTATGGGCCAGCTCCTTCTGGCCTCCTGATTTTACAAATCAAGTGCACCGTGTGTTGCTGATAACGCCCTCCTCTCCCCAGTGGCGGAACTGCGTAGTTGCAACAGACAGTCCTTAGAGCCTATAATACCTACTCCCTAGTCCTTTTCAGAAAAAGCTGGCCCACCCCAAATGGATTCTGGAGCTAACCGATTCAGAGTTCTCCGTGGAACAGTCGCTTTCTTGAAGCAGAGGCAGGGGAGCGGGCAATTCTGCTAGCGTCTCTCTTTGTCACCCTGAGAGCTATCTAGTCTTGAAGCCATCTGTGGCATTTTGGCTCATTTAGCAGGTTGGAACAACTCAGCTCTTGGGGCCCTTGTAGAAAAGTTTTGCCTTAAATGTTGCAAGAAGGAATCACATGACAGGAATCATTCCATTTTGATGGTGTTTGCTGCCAATAATGGAGCGGCTCCGGGGGGCAGAATGGATAAGTCAGCTGCATCTGTCCTCCGCAGTTTCTTCTGGTTTTTGGCTGCGGGAAGACCATTTCAGAGAAGCAATGCTGGCCTTTTTCAGATAGATTTGTCTCTGTAAACAAGAAGTTTTGGGTCAGTCACAGTGCATGGGAGAAGAGACCCCATAATTCCTAGGGCCCTGCTTCTAGACTGTTCCTTCTCACCCTTCTCCATCTCCCTTAGGTAGTTTCCACGATCTTCTCTTTCTAACCTCTTCGCCTCATTGGTCTCCTCCATCCAGGGGTTCTCCCATTCCTTCTCTGAGGAGTCCTCCCAAGTTGCTCCAATAGGCTCTTGTAGAAATGATCCCCATTAACGCAATCTCTGCAAAGCCTCCCACCAGAAGTTCCTGTCTTCTTCCGGCATCCTAATTTATTCTGGGATTGTGCTAAATAATAAAAAAATATATTTTAAGGCCACTGCCTAGCATCATTTTGTTTTCTTTTTTTTTTAATATTTTATTTATTTATTTGACAGAGATCACAAGTAGGCAGAGAGGCAGGTAGGCATGGGTGGGGGGGGAAGCAGGCTCCCTGCTGAGCAGAGAGCCCGATCTGGGGCTCGATCCCAGAACCCTGAGATTGTGACCTGAGCCCAGGGCAGAGGCTTAACCAACTGAGCCACCCAGGTGCCCCTCATTTTGTTTTCTTAGGGAATCTTTGAACTTCTTTTTCTCCATTTTTAATAACTTGCTGCATTGGCAGGTGCTGTTCAAGTCAGCAGAAGAACCACTTCTTTGAATTCCTTCTCTCCGGAGGCATTCCTGCTCCCTGTCGATGTCGAAAAGGTGAATACAGCTTCTTTTTTTTCCCTTTTCTAAAACCACAGAGAGTGTTCATTCCTTAGATGGTGCTGTTGTGATTTAAATCTGGAAACTTCCCTTGGTGAAGCTTGGCAGATTGGTTTCATTTCAGCCTCTGGCAGGCGCGCTGAGCTAAGAAGGGCTCTGAGTCAGTGCCTGTGCTCAGCTGGGAAATTTTCCATGACAGATGCCTGAGGTCTACCCTTGGGCCACCACCAACCCAGGGTCTTAGATCACAAGAAATTCAGCTTGGGGTATCTGTTGGTCTCAGTGGGCTAAATTTTATGTGTCTGGAAGATAGGGGCTCTACTTCATAGAATGACCTGTGTTCCCTGAGTTAAGTGAACATTTATATTTCTGTGCATTAACTCCACTTAAATACAGCTTCTTGATTTTTCAATCCAGTATACCCTCAATGAAAAACAGTCAATTATGCTTATATTTTACCTGATACTTTTTCCCCCCTGCAGGAAAATGCCCACTTCTATGTTGCAGATATGATTATAGCAGCAATGGAGAAAATTAAGTGTACGATCCTAAGCCAACAGCACACAGAGCCCTGGGGTGTGGAAGAAGCCAGTGGGGTGCTCGGGAATGACCAAGCTGACTCCGAAGTCACGTTTTATACCAACACAAAGCAAGAATCTGGGTCTTCCAATTCTTCTGACAGCGGCTATGAAGGCAAGTAGGGCACATCAGAGAGACTTTATGCTGTGTTCTCCATTCATGTCTCTTTTCCTGTCACATCCTAAAGTAGATCTTCAGATTCTTTGCCACAACTTTCTAAAACTTCCTGAATAAAACCAGCTGCATAGCTCACCCCAGTCTTACAGGACCCCAGATCCACATTCCCAGGAGGAGCCCCCAAGGGGGCCTGCTTTGATTGGGTGTCCCCAACTGGTCAGCCACCCTTGGCCAGGGAAGTGAAGGAACGTGATCAGACCATCATCCCCTCTGAGGCCACCAGTGGGGAGAAAAGAAATGATTCCTATATCAGTCCTATTTCTGTGCTTTATCTTTGACTCTTTCTTTTTTGTGTCTGTGTCTTGGCCCCATTTCTAGTGAGCAAATCAGCCCTGACTTCTCAGTAACGGTGGCATCCCCTCCATCTGTTCCCTGTCCACCTTTGACCTGGCCCATCACAGCAACCTCTGGTCAGTCATTCTGTAAGCCGTGCACTTAGGTCCTCAAGACACATTTACTGCCGTTAGTTTTCTCTTTACTTCCAGCCTTTTCCCACTCATCCATCCCACATGCATCTGTCTGCCTAGAACAACTTCTACTCCTCTAAAATGGCCCACTGGGTTTGTGCCAGATTTGATCCTGGGACTTTGAGCCTTGTGGGATGCAGCTTGCCAGCGGGCATCTCCTGATTTCCCTGTGTTGTACTGTGAGCTTTAGTTTTACGAGCCTGGTCAACTTGCCCGCAGACATTTCTCCCAAACCTCTGCCTCCCTCCCTTTGCTTTGGCTGGGCTCCCTGCAATGCTGGGTCCCCAGGAACATCACATTAGTTCCTTCACTCTTCCACTCTTCAAAAGCAGTCTCCACCACCACTGTGACAAGCTCCCAGATTTCATCCCAAGGCAAGAGCACCATTCATGTGGATGGAAGCATAAGTTGTGCTCCCGATTGCTCTGTGATTGTCCGAGTGCGTGCCTCCCTCCCTCCTGGAGTTGTGCAGCATGGAGCCCTCCCTTCTCAAGGCTGGGGTACACGCAGTTGTGTTTTCTCACAGCTATGCGTGTCAGTTTCTCAGTTCCCTTATGAGATTTTAAACTCTTTGATGCATTAGGATGTGTCTCATTTGAATTTGCTTCAGCCTAGTGCCTGGCTTAAAATAGTACTTTATAAATATTTGTTGAATGGCTGAGCATGAGCAGGGGGAGGGCCATAGGGAGAAGCAGGCTCCCTGCTGAGCAGGGAGCCCGACACTTGCTCAATCCTGGGACCCCAGGATCATGACCTGAGCCAAAAGCGGATGCTTAACCAATTGAGTCACCCAGGTGTCCCTGAATTTTTTTTAACATGAATATAAATATGTTAAATAAGATTTTAAAATATTTCTACCACCCCAATAAAAATATGTGTCTTTTATCACATATGTCTCTTGTGACCTTTCTGGTAGTAGATATTACTCCTTTGGGGTAGGTCGGCATACTTTAAGTTGCAGGTTGGTCTTGAGAACATTTGAAAACAAACAAAAAGAATAGAAAGTGTCAGCATTTGACTCACCTCGAGGGAGCAATGCTTCCTGGAACTTTTTTCTTTTTTTTTTTTTTTTATAATCAGTGAAATATATTTTTGTGTCTGTAACTGAGTTGCAGTGGGATTGTATGTTACTGTGGATTGTGGTCAAAAGAGGGTGGGGGAAACAGAAGTGGGTGAGGTTGCCCTGCCTTACCCAGGAGGAAACCAAAGCTGAGAAGCTGATTGTGCATGGTCACCTGGCTAGGGTGGGGCAGTGTTATTGGTTTTTAAAACAATTTTTTTTAAGATTTATTTATCTTAGAGAGAGAGTGCACACAAATGAGCAGGAGGGGCAGAGAGAGAGGGAGAGAGAATCCCAGGCAAACCCTGCACTGAGCACACGGAGCTGGGCAGGAGGCTTGATCCCAAGATCCTGAGGTCATGACCTGAGCTGAAACCAAGGGTCAAGTCAGACCTTAAGTGACTTGCAGCACCCAGGCAGCGTGGTTTTAAAAACTGGCCAGTTCCCTGTGAAACCCAGTCATGTAACTAACCTCTGCCTAACCTGCGGGCTAGAATATTTCCCTCAAGAACTGTGTCCATTTCTCTGTGCTTTTCTCTTATGTTTATTCAAGTGAGTACAGTTTCATAGTGATTATATACTTGTATTAATGCAATTCCATTAATAATATGATTATATTAACAGTATTTCCTATCCAGTTTTCCATGTTGCTAGAGTTTTCACATTTTTCCATGATGGTATTTCTTGATTTAGTAACATGATTTGCAAAATCAGTTTATTATTATTTGGCATTTTGATAGCTTTTAGTATTTTAATATTTTAAAGGCACTGCAGATAGCTCCTTCTGATCAAAGCCTGCCTTTTTAATCTTTTTTTTTTTCTTTTTAATGACATTCTTAGGATAATTCCACAGACTAGCATTCAGGGTCGAAAAACATGGACATATTTGTAGTAGTTTCCTTGGGTTGCATTAACAAAATACCACAAACTGGGTGGCTGAAACAACAGAAAATGTATTCTCTCTCCGTTATGGAGGACAGAAGTCAACAGTGAACTTGTTGGAATGATTGGCTCCTTCTGGAGGCTCTGAGGGAGAACCCGTTCCATGCCTCTCCCAGCTTCTAGTAGTTACTGCCAGTCCTTGATGTTCCTTGGCTTGTAGACACATGACCCCTGTCTCTGCCTCTGTCTGTACATGACCTTCTCTGGCTATCAGTGTCTGTGCCCAGATTTCCCTCTTTATAATATAACCAGTCATATTGGATTTTGAGCTCACTCCAATCCAGTATGGCCTCAGCTTGACTTGATCACATCGAATTCCTAAAGACCCTAATTCCAAATAAGGTCACATTCACAGGTCATTATCTTGGGGTCCCAGGATCGAGCAAGTGTTGGGTTCAAGTTCTAGGTGGATATATATTTTGGCGGGGGATGCTCCTCAACCCAGTACAATATTTAGGTCGCTTCTACTCTTTGCCTCACTGTGAAGTTGATTTTTGTCCTCTTTCATTTTTTTAAAACTTTGTATTTTAGAAATTTTCAAACACACATTAAAGTAGGCAGCTGACTCTTATGAACCCCTCATCGTCACAGATTCTCCTCCCTCTGTTTCACTCAGTCACAGTGAATGGACCAACAGTACAAAAATAGCTCCCTGCGATTTTTAGTTCTTAAAGCTGGATTTTTAAACTCTTTTAATGTAAACTCTTGGCCCATTTTTATTCCCTGGTTTCTAGTTAGTTGGCTGTGACAGTTTTTCTTGTTTTTCTTTTTGGTGAAAGCCCCTTCATTTCTTTTTCTAGGTTATGCTGTGTTACAGGGCAGCCCAGTGGCCGGGACACCTACTCACTCTGATGTGCTGAAAGAAGCCTGTAAATGTGACTTTGACGACTTTGTTATTATAGGTAAGATTTGGAAACTCACCAGCGATGACTCGTAATTTCCTTCCCCTCAACACATACTGACATGCATCCCATGTGATACCACGTTATAATGGCTTTCAAAGAAACTTCTCCCAAGATCAGATTATGTCAGATTAAAAAAATAATAATAGTAATAATAATTAGATGTTCTTATTTCACATGTCTTGATAATCAATCTCTCATCTCACTTGTAGAATTGAATGTAAAAGCAGATACTCATTATAGTCAGATCTGTTTGGCCTCTCAATTAAATTCTGGTGGAATTTCAGGAGACTGGATTTTGAAATCCCATCTTTGGTCATTAGCTGTAGTCTCATAATAGAAACCCAGAGAACATGAAGAATGGAGATGCTGAATAACGAGACCTTTCTGAGAGGCAGGGATTTATTTTTGTGTTCTTATAAAATTAAGTATGAGTAAGTAAAACAGACCGAAAGACTTTAATACCCTTTCTTTTATTTACTTGCAGAACTTGGTGAGTTTAGCAATATCACAGAAACCTGTGGGTGTTCCTGCAGCTCCTCGAAGAGGTAGGTCTCGTCCGTGTCCACCTGCACCTAGATCCCTGGGCCATTACCACTGAGGCATTGTGAAGGCCAAGCCTCTGATATCTCCAACCAAGTTCTGCCAGTTCCAGGGACAGAGATTACTACTTGACAATGAAACAATCACCACTAAGTTTTCTATAGAGCTTTCTATAGTCTTTTATTTTTTTTAATAGAGTGTTTAAAGGCCTTTGTATACATTCTCATTTAATCAGCCTGGGTAGGATTTTTTTTTACCCCATTTTCATAAATAGGGAAACTGAGACTCAGGCTAAATGTGCCTCAGGACACAATGCTGTTTGATGAGCTGTGAGACAGGACTTGAACTCAGGTCTTCGAACTCCAAATCCAGTGCTTTTTTTTTTTTTACCACATTTCCCAGTCTTGGTCCCCTCCATAAATAAAAGCTGCTGTTTTGAGCGTGGAGGAACTGTGTTGCGTAAGACAATCAGTGGGTGGCTGGGGCATGTTCCCTCCTGTGACACCTCTTCTGAGTTTTTGGAGGGGGAAGGATGGTTGAAAACATGAAGATCTACAGCATACTCCTCATCAATATCGTTTTCCACTTTTTGCATCTCTTACCTTTCAGTGTCATTTACGAGCCAGACTTCAATTCTGCTGAGCTAATAGCCAAGGAGCTGTACCGAGCATTCCAGAAGAGCTGGCTGTTGTCGGACGTTAATCAGCAGCCTGCAGGTCCTCCAAATGCAGCTGGCTCGGTAGTAAGTATCCAAATAAACTGGCCTTGCATTGAGAGTTCCTCAATTCTCATCTTGCTTGCTGTTCACTTCAGGCATTTATGCCTTCCTTGCGTGGTCCCTGGAGTGTTTCCCGAGTGTTGATTATGGGCCAGAGAATTCAGCATTTCACATTTTCATCCTTATCTGTATCCTCTTAAGTCGATGCCGTTGTTATGTTTAAAGTGTTAGTTCCCGCCCCTTGGCCGGCCTGGTCAGCGGAAGAGCAGGAGTCACGTCCAGTCTGGTCCCGTGTGGACACACCGGCCTCTGACTGCCCTCAGCCCATTGCGGGGAGAGAACTTTGCGGCAGAGCTAACACAGGGGTGGGAATAAAGCAGTCTGCGTATGCAGAGGAGGGGAGCTTCATTTTATCAGGGGACTCGGGAAGGCCAACTGGACATCTCCGAACTTGAGAGTGGTAGCAGGTAGAAACACGTGGCACAGGGCAGCTGGAGCAAAAGTGACAGGGGCGGGTGCGCATGGTATGTTTACTGAGCAGGGTGGCCTGGTGTGGTTGGATAACACGTGTTTGTGTGTGTGTGTGTGTGTGTGCTCGTGTGTGTGTTGGGGAGGGCGGAGTTGGTCTTCCTTGGAAATTAGGTTTGAAGGATAGGGCCAAATTGTGGAGGACACAGAATGCTACTTTGAATGTTAATTGCAAACAGGAAAGTGGAATGGCTCAGAGGGGAGCCACTGGACATTTTTAAGCTGGGGAATGGCCGTTAAAGAGCTGTTTTGGGGGAAGTCTGACAACAGCTGGGGGTTCTGTTGGGCAGCACGTGGTAGCCTATGGACTAAGAGCAGTAAGGCTTCTGCTGCGAATAAAAGCATTCTGGGTCACAGCGACCTACTTACAGAAACTTGAAGTCTGAAAACAAATGAACTCCCCAAAATACTAAGAAAAGTGATCTCAGCTGGCTGGCGTTTCAAGCAAGACTTCTACAGATGGTGTTAGATACTGGGAGGGCTTCTTTCGTTCAGTTGAAAGCAGTTCTAATTTTTCATGGCATATTTTAATCTGGAAACACATTTGAATATTCTTTTTCTTTCTGTTCCAGAAATATGCTTGTTTGGGTTGCTCTGAAATCCTCTTCTGTGTTATGCAGGTAGTGAATGAAGAGCGCATCCGGAAAGACTTTGAATCCAGTGTGGACGTCGTTCAGGAAATCACCCTTAAGTCGAGGATCCGAGGGGCTGAAGACTGGGAGCCCCCCAGATTTCAAATCGTAGTTAATGTTCACCCACCACTCAAGTAAGTCTGGGTTGCTGTGAGGGCTTCCAGTCCAGGTAACAAGGTGTGATAGGTCCTCTCTTTGTGGAAGCAGGGGAAGGGAAGAAAATTACACACCGAGGGATGAAGGAAAATTTGTTGTAGGAAAAGGAAAGTTGGGCATATTTTTCTGAATTAGCGTCCAAGCAACTTGTTTATCATGGGTTTTGTGGCGGGGGGGTGCTAAGTAAGTTTGACAAATTTAACCATGTCCTTTATTATGTATGTTACACAGCAATTAAAAATTACATAGGTTTAAAGGGGATTTTTTAAAAGATTTTATTTATTTATCAGTTAGAGATCACAGGTAGGCAGAGAGACAGGCAGAGAGAGGGGGAAGCAGGCTCCCTGCTGAGCAGAGAGCCCAATGCGGGGCTCTATCCCAGGATCCTGGGATCATGACCTGAGCTGAAGTTAGAGGCTTAACCCACTAAGCCACCCAGGCGCCCCTAAAGGGGATTTTTTTAAAGTGGCTAATATTGAACCTTAAAAATCATACACAATATCTTTAAAAGATTGCTCTATTTCTCAGGCCAACGTGAAATAAAAATAAATGGATAATTTTCTTTTAAAGGGAAAATCTTACCTTGAGGAGGGCTGTAGTTAAGAAATGCAACAGAGTGGGGCACCTGGGTGGCTCAGTGGGTTAAAGCCTCCTCCTTTGGCTCAGGTCATGATCTCAGGGTCCTGGGATAGAGCCCTGCATCAGGCTCTCTGCTCAGTGGGAAGCCTGCCTCCTCCTCCTCTCTCTCTCTGCCTACTTGTGATCTCTGTCAAATAAATAAATAAAATCTTAAAAAAAAAAAAAGAAATGCAACAGGATGCGTATAAAAATGTCTTTGTTCTCTAAGAAGTAGTAAAATCCTAAAAGACAAAATGACAAAAGAGGGTACAAAAGAAAAAAAGAAATAAACTCATTTTTACAAGTGTCTATGTATAAATAAAATACATAATAATTGAGGGTAATAGTTTTATTTGTTTCTGAGAGGATATGACATTGTAAGGGGACATTTTAACCACCTACAGTTTCTCTATTCCTCTTGGCTTGTATTTAACGTGTTCCCAAACTGCAGCTTAAGGAAGGGACTGGGGGAGGGTCTTGCCAGTGGCCCATGGAAGTGCCCTAATAGGCTCTGTCTTGTATTTTTTCTGTTTGAGAGAATGCCAAGAAGGTGTCTGGAGTGCTTGGGCAGAAGAGCTCCTTCTCCTGGCTTGGGGAGGGGTCACTCTCCTCAGCAAGGGTTGTCTTTTCTCTAAAATGTCCCTACGTCCTCTCTAAGGCACATGGTTAGGGTTCTGCACATTTTTACCTTGGCCCATTTTTGCTGACCCTAAACTGTAATAAAATTTTACAACTTCCTTCGTATTTCCAAATCACATATGGAGTTGTAGCGTCAAGAGTTCAGTAGAAGACACTGCAGTAGAAGGTCGCTCTCCAGAAATGTCTGATACTTAGGTCTTATGTGACCTCTTATTCATCCACGTTTTTTTTGGTCCCTGTGTGAACTTCCCAGGTGCATCACCTCTTGGTGTTTCATCTCCCTGAACTTTCTCCCTTGAGTTACATGTCTCCAGTTCTCACCGGTGGAGGTCCTGTGCATGCACAGTGAGCCGTCTCCAAAGATGCCACGGTGAATAGTCATGATACTGACCTGTAGTCTGGTGATAGTAGGGGCTTTTAAAAGACCTAGAGATCTCAATAAATAAATAAATAAATAAATAAATAAATCTAACTAACTAAATAATGATAAAATAAACGACCCAGAAATCTCAACTAGAAAACTCGACTGAAGAATGCTATTTTTTTCCCAAATGAAAAAATGACAAAATTAAGGCCTCGAGCCCAGAAAAGCACCCTGATGTCAGTTTCTTGTCCAGTCAGTGAAAAATGCTCCATTGGCTATTTCTGAATTGTAACTGTGCTCCTTTTCTGTGTGCAGGAAGGAACTCGTGGTAGCAACCCAGAATTTTTTGTGTGCTGGCTGTGGAACTCCAATAGAACCTAGTAAGTGTGGGCATTGGGTTACCCGTTGAGGACGCAATGACAGGGCCAAGAATGGCAAAGTTGGAGAGTGCGCTGTTTTTGTGAGAAATGCCTTGGGTGGAGTTGTTACAGGAACTTCAGCTGCTGCCTTCTCTTTCCTGAAGAGGCCATCGTGACCTATAAGGCTATGTGGCTGGCCTGTTACCTTATCTCCTGGTTCTCTCGCCCATGAGCCCTCAGTTCCAGCCACATGGCCTCCCTGCTGGTCCTTGAAGGAGGCAGGCTCATGCCTGACTTAGGGACTTGCATTTCTGGTTTTCTCTCCCGAGGATGACATCCCTATGGCTGGTTCCCTCACTTCCTGCACACCTTCACTCGACGTGAGGAGATGTTCTCTGGCCACCCTGTTGAAGATGCCAACATTGCCACACTCCTGGCCACAAAGATGTGTACACTTTACTCTCCCTACTTATTTTTTATTCTAGTACTTACCTTCCTAAAATGCTCTTTGAGATTTTACGGATTTTGATAATCGTTGGTCTGCGTCCCCGTCTCGATTCTAAGTTCCATCAGGACAGACGTGTTTTCTGTTTTGTTCATTGCTTTGATCCCCTGCTCCTACAAGAGCACCTGGCACACAGTTGTTCCTCAAAACGTATTTGTTGAGTGCCTGAATGGCTTGTATCAAAGAGCTGGCCAAAGCCCTCTGAGAGGGTTTGGGGAGGTGGCTTGAGGGATCATTCCTGGGCCAGCTGGGGGCCTAGAAAGTCAGACTTCTTCTAGTCAGAAATTCAAATTGCCCACTGAAGACTGCCAGTCACGTATTCTGCTTGTGAGGGTATCCACAGGTCTGGTGTGTAAAAGGCTGGGGATAGGAGCTTTGCTGGAAAGGGTTCCTTTGGCCTTTGATAGGAAGTCTTGGAAGGAAAAAGACTTTGAGGACCTCCACCTCAGGAAACAAAAATAGAACACAGAAATCTGTCTGGGATTCCTTCTACAATATTGAATGACAGTGCCCGCCCTTCATCACAGTTGTAACTGGTTTCCTTGAAAGGGAGGACTCATCCTCCCAACTAGTCTAGTAGAAATCATGTCTGTTTGGTTAACCCCTATATCCTGGTGCCTCATTATGGAGTGCATGATTGAGTGTATGAGTCAGAAACTATGAACACATGGTGGTGATTCTGCCAACTTTTAAACAATCTCTCTAAGTTCGTTCAACTACGGAGATGTAGGCCTGCACTGGTCACGTGAACGTGGTCCTTCCCTCATGAAGCTCACTTCCAAGAAGGCAGAGGCATCAGCCAAGTGAACAGCAAGAACGATGCTTGCAATGAAAGAGAAAGTCAAGAGTGCTGTGGGACTTACTTCATGGGAACTGAATCTGGGCTTGAGGGGCTGGCAGGGAGAAGTTCTGTAGGAAAGTGATTGTCCCAGGAAGTGTGTGTGTGTGTGTGTGTGTTGCAGGCATAAGGGTCACCCTGAGCAAAGGACCTTTAGCAACTGCCGGGAAGTCCTGCGTGAGTGGAGAGTAGTATGGAGAGAAGAAAGCTGCTCACAGGTGCCCAGGGCATAGACGGCGGATGTGCTTTCAGGCACGGAGACGATTTGAACTTTTCCTGTGAACTTCCTATATAGTTCTTAGGATATATTTTGACTTCTTAAAACTTTTTAAAAAGATTTTGTTTATTTGTTTGAGAGAGAGAGAGCAAGTACAAGCAGGGGGGAGAGGCAGAGAGAGAGAGAAGCAGATTCCCTGCCTAGCAGGGAACCTGAAGCAGAGCTCCATCCCAGGATCCTAAGATCCATGACCTGAGCCAAAGGGAGATGCTTAACCGACTGAGCCCCCCAGATGCCCCTTGAGTTTTTACTTTAAGATATTTTTGAACTTCCGGAAGAGTTGCAAAAATGGTATTCTATATTCCTTTCATCCAGCTTCCCCTCACATTAGCATCTTAAAATAATCAGGTATGATTACCAACTGAGGGCTTCGCGTTGGTACGTCCCATTCGCTCAGGCACAGACTGATTCAGATCTCACCCATGACCTTGATCTGCCCCCAGGTCCAGTCCAGAGCTGCACATGGCATGTAGTTGTCTGGTCTCCTTGGACTCCTCCAATCTCACACATGTTGAACCATTTGAAAAGTATGCAGACAACATGACATCTTACCCTTTAATATTCTAGCACGTTCTAAAAATAAGGATGATGAACAGTTAGCACACCAAAGGAAATTAGTAACAATTCTCTAATACTCTCTCGTACTAGTCCATATTTGTTTGTTGTTCTCACGATGTCATTTTGTAGCCAATTTTTCCATCCAGCTTCTAACCAAGTTTCAGACACTGCATTTAGTCATTATTTCTCTTTAGCCACCTCTATTCTAGAACTCCACTGTCCAGCATGGTAGCCACTCCCTCGTGTGGCTATTTAAGATTTAATTTAAGTTAATTGAAGTTAAAAATCCAGTTCCTCAGGGCACCTGGGTGGCTCAGTCAGTTAACCGTCGGCCTTCGGCTCAGGTCATGATCCCAGGATTCTGGGATCGAGTCCCACGTTGGGCTCTCTGATCAGCAGGGAGCCTGCTTCTCCCTCTGCCTGCCACTCCACCTGCTTGTGCTTTCTCCCTCTCTGTGTCAAGTAAACAAAGTCTTTAACAAAAAGATCCAGTTCCTCAGACACACTAGCTACATTTCAAGTGCTCAGTAGCCACATGTGGCTTGTAGCTACTACATTGGACGGCACAGGCTTAGAAGAGTTCCCTCCGCCCAGAAAGTTCTCTTGGACAACACTGGTCTAGAATTTGTCCTTCCTGTCTTTTTTTTTTTTTTCTCCTGTGGCATTGACTTTTCCTCCAATGAGAACAGTTGTGGTTTAGAGCAGGGCTTCTTGACTTCAGTACCACTGACTCTGTTGAAGGGCTGTCCTATACATTCTAGGACGTTCAAAAGCATCACTAGATGCTACTGGTGGCTCCCCAGTTATGACAACTGGAAATATCTCCAGATATTTCCACATATTCTTAGGGAATCACCCCTGGTCGAGAACACCTGGTTTTGGATGCGTTGTTTAGCTCTGCTTTAATTAAAGGACTGAAGAAACTGAAAGAGAGAGACATCACTTATTCTGTATCGATAGTATAGTACTTAGTAGAGAGTCGATGAAATTTGATGAATGAATGACCGGACATTGAAATTTTAGGATTGTAGATTTTAGGAAAAGAAGAATTACATCAGGAAAATTTATTGGTCCCATCTGTCCCCCTTTCTCCTCCCATCCTGCTAAGTTTGATCAGAAATGTAGAGTGGAAGCATACCTTCCTTTCTGCCCATTTTATATAAAATGTATCAAGGCCCTGTCACAAGCCAAAAAATATTCATCATCGGACAAATCAGAAATCGTAATCCAGGGTAGGAAATAGACATATACAACTGATTGCTCAAGATTTGAAATTGAAGAACTCAGCCATAAACATCAAGCATTTAAAGAGTTCTTAACAAGAATTTGTCAACCCTAGTTGTGTGTCTTTATAATTGAACCTGGTTGTTTATGATTCTGTATTTGCAGATTTACCTACTGGATAAAATTTATTGGTGGTCACAGAATTACTCATGGTGTTTTCACAGTCATACCCAGATATGCACAAAGCACCAAAAATTTGAGTTGCCTGAAATTTGAGTTGCCCGATGCACATGTTTCCAGCTGAAGGCAGTGCTCTGCCTTCTGGTTTTCTCTCTCATACTGTGAACAAGGCCTTCTCATGGTTTATTGAGTGCCTTTTTTTATTTGTATAGCTTTGCATTTTTTGTTGATGAGTTAGCTATTTAAAATATCCCCCACGTATGGTACTGAAGTGCTTCTAAGCACGAGAAGGATATGATTTGCTTTATGGAAAATATACACGCATTAGATAAGCTTCATTCAGGCATGAGTTACAGATAGTGCTGTTGGCCCTGAGCAAGGATATAACAAAAATATAACAAAATAATATATTTTTCGCAATGTATATATAAGGTTGTTACTGTTGGTTTAGCGTTGATAATATATATAATGCTGTTAAAAATAAATTATAACAAAATACATTAGACATGGTGTTTTTAAACAGAAAACACACATAAAGCAGGGTTATATATTGACCGGTTGGTGAAAATGGTACCAGAGGGTCACAGAAGCCTAAACCTGTTTTTCCCTCAGGAGCATACATACCTGTTTTGACAAATTCGGTGTTCATGGCACCTTTACAGAACATAAACTATTGTAAATAGTAAGAATCAATGGGTGTGACTGGGGTCTGAGGGATAATCTGGGCAAGCGCAAAGGTGTTAGCTCCTTGCCCTTTCTTTCCGTTTCATGCGGCAGAGGGTGAGGGGGCTGTGATGGCCAAAAGCTGGAGCTTCAGGCCAGACGTGGGTGGGAACCCCACTAGCCTGCTCCCCGAGTGTCTCTTCATTCCCTGTCTGGGCTCTCATCAGTGAAATGGGATGTAATAGCCCCTGCCTCTTACAGGTTCGAGCAGAGAATGACACAGTGTAGGTGAGAATTTTAACCAGAGCGTAACACAGTCGGTGCTCAGTAAGGGATAGTTCCCGCAGTCACTCGGGCCTTGTTTATTGATTGATTGATTAGTTTTATATTTTATTTTATTTTATTTTTGTAAACATATGTACAGAAGCATATATGAAAGCTCTCGTCATTCAAGTAATGTCTCCTTTCATTAAAATACAAGCGACCTTGTTTATTCTGGAAGCCGGGGCAAAGAAACTAGATTTAGAATCTTCAGTGTACCAGGTGCTGTGGTAGCTGCTTTGCCACCCATCCTTTCATTTAATCTGATGATGATGATATCATCCTCGCCCATCTTAGACTCCAAGGTTGAGGGCGGGACACTGGGGAGACTTAACTGAATTGCTGTCTTCTTCTTAAACTGGGTGGCAGGTACACAGGGACTTGATGCATTTGTCCCTACACCTTTTGCTTGCCAATATATTTTGTTAGATATATTTCAGAAAGCAATGAGTGCTCATTTGAGCAAATTAAAAAATGCAAAAGAATGAAAAATCCTTTCTCCTGCCCTCTGGAAGTGTTCACTTTTGGCTTTTTGGTGGGGATCCTCTTGGACTGTGTATGTGTGTTTTTAGAAGCCAAATCACGATCGCAGTATGAGTATCTGGAACTGGATGTCCACTGCCCACACTCATCCACGCATTTGTGGGCTCTCTGTCATTTCATTGTTGAGAGTGCCTGTCTAGCCGGGTGCTTCTTAATGTACGTTCAGATTGCTGTAACGTACTGTAATGAGCACCTGTGTCTCCACATGTGCATGTTAGCATTTCTGTCTGGTGTCACCAAAGCAGGAGTCCCGGTACACATCAGAGTTAAAGTATATCATGGAAATGTCCTCCTAGAAAGTCCCCTCAGGTCAGCCCTGAGAGTGAGTGTCCACCCCTCTGCCCCTTGCTGGCCCTGGGTTCCTCTACCTCTGTGACGGTCTCTTGCAAAACCAAGCGTTCACTCTTTCAACATGCACGTCCTTGTTGCTGAGATCATTTCTCGGGTCATTCCCGGTCAGCTGCACTCCCTGTTTCCATGTATCGTCTATTCCTGTCCTTGGTGCATCTCTGTAATGTTGTTTGCCCTGGGTTTATCCAGGACGTCTTTGGGGTGCTGCTCCCTAAGGTGTCCAAAGCATGCCTGACGATTTACCAAGCACTTTCCATAGGTGTGATAGCCCATAACCTGGTCCTGAGCTGCTTTTTATAGCTTCAGGATAGCTAGCCTAAAAGGGTTCAACCAGCCCTCAGGCTCCCGGCGGGCTGGAGGCAGAGGGTAGACTCCCACCGATTTCTGGACTCTAAACCTCGTGTGTTCTTTTGCCTACACTGCCGTTTACAATGCCTGTCTTCCAAATTCAGGAGTATTTGGGGCGGCTTTCTCTTTTTCTGACACCTGTTTTTGGAAAGCAGCGCTCCTGAATGGCCATATAATACACAGCCTCCTGCCCCTGCCGGAGCTTTCTCAGAGGCTGTGAGGGCGAGTACGGTGTTAGCAGCACAAACCCCGCCATCTGGGTCTTGAACCTCACAGGAATGGGAAGTGGTGGAGGGAGAGGATGGGGGGTGGGGTGGCAGCGCCGAGGGCAGTGGGTTTGCCATTCGCCAGCCGAGGTGAGGCCTGCTCACCCTCCCGTGGGCTCTTGCAGAGTTTGTGAAGCGGCTCCGGTACTGCGACTACCTGGGCAAGTACTTCTGTGACTGCTGCCACGTCTACGCAGAGAGCTGCATCCCTGCACGGATCCTGACCACGTGGGACTTCAGGAAGTACTACGTCAGCAATTTCTCCAAACGGCTGCTGGACGGTCTGGGGCCCCAGCCCGTTTTCAATTTGCTGAGCATTGGCCACGGCCTGTACGCCAAGGTCAAGGAACTGGACAGAGCGAGGGTGAGCACCGGCTTCGGTGGTGGGGGGGGGGGAGGCGGGGCCGCTGGCGCCAAGGGACCTGCGGCCGCCAGTGCACCTTGCAACCTTGCACCGTCTCAGAGGACACAGCTGGACCCTCCAAAGGGCGGGTTTACTGCCAGCCGCTGGAGCTTTAGCTTCCAAGGTCTGGTACCAAATTCCCTATGTAGGCATCGTTTTGCATTTATCACATAGATTTTGACATTTATTATTAGTTTTTAAAATAAAATTATGTTTAAGGTGTAGAGCATGATAATTTGATGTTCAACAAGTGAAATAATTACTGGTCAAGCTAATTAGCATCTCCATCTCCACAGTTAGGGTGTGTGTGTGTCTATGTGTGTGTCTGTGTGTGTTGGGAGCACCTGAAATGTACTCTCTTAGCAAGTTTCCAGTGTTCAATACAGTATTATTAACTATAGTCTTCATACCATCTATTAGACCTGTAGACTTATTCATCCTACGTAACTGCACCTTTGTTCCCTTTGGCCAGCTTCTCCCCATTTGCCCCACCTCCCTGTCTCCCTGTTCAACTCTCTGCTTCCGTGTTTTTGACTTTTTTAAGATTTCACGTGTAAGTGAGACCATGCAGTTTGTTTTTTTTCCTGTGTCTGTCTGATTTCACTTAGCACGATGCCCTCCAGTTTTATCCATGTAGCCACAAAAGGCAGGATCTCCATCTTTCACACACAGTTTTGTGTTTTCCTCAAAGAAGGTCCCCAACGGTTGTGTAAGCCTCAGGCTTCACACAACTTGGGTTTCTACTGGACTCTGTCATGAACCGCTGCTCTATAGACTGTTTGCTCCAAAGGCTTGTCTTAGAGTTGTAGCATTTCGAAGTTAGAACTAACATTTAAATTTGATTTGTACATTTTCTGCGTCATTGATCACATTAACTTCTCCCCCCGTTTGGCTTCTCACATTAGGAAACCCGGGAACAACTTTTTCATATCAAGAAGCTGTTGAAGACCTGCAGGTTTGCTGAAAGGTACTGATGTTGGCTGGGCCAGGCCACGCCTGAGGTTGGGAGGGCTGGGAGCCTCTGCATACCTACACACACTCAGTCCCTTGGGTGCCACCTGCTCCCAGCTCCTCCAATCCACAGGGCCCCTTAGCACAGCAACTCCCTCGGGCCTCTTCTTGATGATCCAGATCCTATCGTTGAAGTTGCTGAATCTTCTGGCTCACTAGTAATGAACTTAACATGTTAGAGGAATCGCCAAAACAAGGATGAAATAACTCCAGCTGGGGGCCTTACTATGATTACTGTTGTTATTTTAAGTTGTGACCAAACACGCATAACAAAATGTACCATCTTAACCATTTTAAGTGTACAATTCAGTGGCATTAAGTACATTCACATTCTTTTCCAACTGTCACCACCATCCATCCACAGAATTTTTTTCTCTTGCAAAACTGAAACTCTGTATCCATTTAGCAATAACTCTCTCCTCCCTCGCTCCTCCTGCCCCTGGCAACCACCATTCTCCTTACCATCTCTATGGACTCACTCCTCAGGGTGACTCCTGGAAGTGTAGCCACAGAGTATTTGTGCTTTTGTGACTGGCTTATGGCACTCAACATAATTTCCTGGAGGTACGCCCATGTTGTAGCATGGGTCAGAAGTTCCTTCCTTTTTTAGGGCTGAAAAATATTCCATTATATGTACCTACCGCATTTTGTTTACCCGTTCAGCCTCTTTGGGTTGCTTTCACCTTTTAGCTGTTGTGACTAGAGGTGCTCTGAGCAGGGGTGTATCGATGGCTTTTTTAAAAAATCCCTGATGGAGGGCGTGTCAAACCGTCATTGCTGTTTAGTACTTTATAGTATCATGTGGTGTTAATTTCGGTATGGTTCTCTTACTGGTAGATTTTTAATCTAATAGATTTTAATATCTTTATATTAAAATAGATTTTAATATCTCTATAGATACTATACTATCTCTATACTCTATAGAGTATAGTATACTATACTCTATAGATAGTAAACTAGATAGATTTTAATACCTCATAGATACTTGGATTTTTAATACCATTTGTTATTTAAAAGTCTGGGCTTTAGGTGAATCTCTGTGCACATCCATAATATGTCCTTAGAATAAACTTCTAGCGGTGGAATTTTGGGGAGCCATGGCATAAAGGTATAGGCATGAATTCAATGACAGAGATATAATTTTTTAAGTGAGAAAAGAGGTTACTTAAGGGGTTAAAATTATTTGTTATAATAGACAGGATCATAGTTTTTAAAAAATTGTTTCATTTTATTATTTAAGATTTTATTTATTTATTTATTTGCCAGAGAGAGAGAGAGCACACAAGTAGGGGGAACAGCAGGCAGAGGGAGAAACAGGCTCCCCACATCAAACCCGATGTGGGACTCGACCCCAGGACCCTGGGGTCATGACCTGAGCAGAAGAAGGTAGATGCTTACCCGACTGAGACACCGAGGCGTCCCCAAAAAATCGTTTTTTTTTCAAGCTGCTTTCAGTTTCTGATCTTTAATGATAATGTAATATATCTTTAATGATAATGTATTGCCTTTAAATTAAATTTCTTGGGGAGGAGCACGTCTCCTGTAGTTATTTGGCCTTAAGCTCTACCTCATGGCAGTGGTGTGACAGGTTAACTATGTCTCAGGCTGTCCGTTTTCTTGCCTGTAACATATAACAATACCCATAATTATTACTGTCTACCAAAATTTCTTGAGTATCCATTCTGTGCTTCAGATAAAAAGTCCATGGGACTCATGTTACATCCAGGGAGAAAGCACAAACCTCTTATTGCCAGACCATGTGTTAGACACACAGAAGAGGCAATAGTTAGGTCCTACGGGGCGGGGCAGGGAGGAGGGCCACAGAGCTTCCCGGAGAAAAAGCAGAGTTTAAAGAGCAAATCAGACTGAAGAAGAAGTGTCAGGGGTCCCCCTCCGAAGAAGCAGTGTGAGCAAGCATCTCAGGCTGGATGGAGAATTTAGCACGGATTGGCCTGTTGGAATGCCAAGTCCAGCATAGGCAGTGGCTGGCTCGGGAATGAGTGCATAGCGCCACTAACAGATTTAGGGAATTCAGGAGGAGATAAGTAGGGGTTGGAGAAAGATGCAATCCATATGTGACTGCCCTTCGGACACACAGGTGGCTACGATGAGCTCACAGTTGGATGCTTGGGTCTTGGGCTCCTTGCTGGACTCCTAGCTGGGGAAGTCACATACCTGCCTATGAGCAGTGATCCTCCTGCTGGCGGGACAACAGTCAACAGGCAGATGGACTTGAAATTGAGCTGGAATGAATGAGGTCGTCTTTTTTTTTTTTTTCTTAAATCTCAGAACATGTTTTTAAGACTTGAAAAATAAATGTGTAAGCTGTCTTTTGCTGAGTCTCTCCATGGGCAGGCTGCAAGAGATGTTTTTCTGCTGGCTCAGCTTTTTGAAATCCACTTTTAGGAAATTTTAGGTTTCTGGCTTCCAAACAAACTTGCAGAATGTCAGACGGTGAGCCAGGTTCACTTGCTCTTGGGCTTTCTTTTTTTTTTTTTTTTGAACTGAGTTAAAAAAATAATCAGGTGTGAGTGCCAGAGAAAACCCCCACCTGCTCGGCCTCCTTGTGTCACAGCCTCTGTGTGGGTGGCTGTCCGAACTCCTCTTTGTTTCCTCCCCGGCAGTGCGCTGAAGGAGTTTGAGCAGGTGCCGAGGCATCTGACTGATGAGCTCCACCTGTTCTCCCTGGAGGACCTGGTCAGGGTCAAGAAACGGCTGCTGGTGCCCTTGCTCAAGGACATTCTAAAAGCTTCCCTCGCGCATGTGGCCGGCTGTGAGGTAAGGCTCCCCTGGGACAGGTGTGTCCCTGAGCTGTCCCTTACCCTTCAGGGCCTGGGATGGGTGTTCTGCACCTTACCTCATTTAACCACCACCGACTGTGAGGGAAGTGCGGGGAACACTATTTCCAGATGAGAGAAATGAGGTTCGGAGCTATTTGGTAACAGCCAAGATCATTGTGCTGGCCCCCCGCAGGGCTGGGAATGCAAGCGTGGGCCAGTCGACTTCTTCGACTTCTTCGTGTCAGGGCCAAGCCCTGCTGGGGGCCTTGCCTAACTCCCATCTGCCCGGAAGCGCCAAGGACAGCCATGTGGACTCAGGATCCCGGGGACTAGGAGCTGTGTATCTGCATGAACTCAAAAATTGTAGAACAGCCCTCAGAAATAAGAGTAGATCATCTGAAGGCCCATGTATAAAGTCATGATCTTTCCCTGGCATCTCAAACTAAATCTCTCCATGCAAAACAGAGGTACACGTACCATTCGCATCCGTTTACTCTACTCTAGCGAGATCTAGCATCCCGGTCCTTCTAGAGGCTGGGATGCCAGACACTTAACGACAGAGGTTTATAAAGTTCTGTGAAAGTAGTCACTTGGCTTCTCCATCAAAAGAATCGTTGCCAAGGAGGATTTTAACTTTTTGGCCCCTTCTCTTACAGCTGTGTCAAGGAAAGGGCTTCATTTGTGAATTTTGCCAGAGTACAGCCGTCATCTTCCCCTTTCAGACTGAGACGTGTAGAAGATGTGCAGGTATCTTAATAACTTCAGAATGCATGCTTAATAACGGTTAATTAATAATAAATAATTAATAATAAATTAATTATTATTTATAAATTATATAATTATTTTATTTTCTTTATTTATTATTAATTAATAATTTATATAATTATTTTATTATATTATATAAATTAATAAATAATTAATTAATAGCTTAATAACGGAAACGCACAATGAGCTTAATAGCAGCTTAATCACTTAAGCACATTGTTGTTGGAAGTATAATGGTGCTAGTGCATGCGTGTATGTAGGGTGGGACCTCATGGAGTTTTGGGTGTGTGGGGAAGAGAATTTGGGTGAGGCGGGGATGACGGGGGACATCTCCCCATACAGGAGGGAAGAGTGGTCCCCCTTTTGCCTATGGCCCAGTTCCCTCCCACCAGGGCAAGCCGTAGCCACTGCCCCAGTTTTAGAATTGTCCCTGGCCCCTCTTGCTCTCCAAGGGCAGTTTGAGTCGTCATCACGGAGACCATGTAGCCCAAAAAACCTAACACGTTTACTACCTGGCTCTTCACAGCAGAGATGCTCAGACCTTGTTAGATTGTCTGTATGGATGCTTGAGGAAATCCCGTGACCTCTCAGCTGTTTCTTGGGTGAGATCTGACCGTGCATTCTGCCTTTACCCTTGATAAGAGCCATTCCTCCCCTTTACCACTCCAGCACCAACTCCCCGAACCCCTTAGGCAGGATCGCAGGAGAGGCTCCCCAGCAGAGAAACTCCAAAGCATGGATCTGTGTGCAGAGAGCTAACTGGGGTGTGATGTCAGGCTCAACACCCATCAGGATGTGAAGTCAGCAGGACTCGGCAGAGGAGGAGGCGAGCTGTGGTGTGGTAGCAGTGGAGGGTCAGCATGTCTCACAGGGCGCTCTGAAGCAGGATGGCTTGCATGTTGTCACATACTGGGGACAGGGGCCAGGGGCCAGGCAAAAACCTTTAAACAGTGTGTTGACCAATCACCCGATGTAGGCCAGTGCCAGGCAAGGGAGATGACCTCGAGGGAGGGAGGCAGGTCTCTCCAGTTCCGGCATTTGCAGTTAGGGCTGCCTCCTGAGCTGTCAGTCACCAACACTCACCATGTTCATGGCACACTGGGGACTTTAGAACCTGTCCGTTCCAACCCGCCTCATTTCTTGTTGGACGACTGGTTTCTGGACCCAGACCATGTCTCTCCCCAGGGTGGGGATGAGCATTTGTACGTATGTGAGAAGACAAGATAGGCTGCTCGCTGATGGCTGTCCTCCTGCTCTAGGGTGCAGAGCGTGCTTTCACAAGCAGTGTTTCCGGTCCTCCGAGTGCCCCCGGTGTGCGCGGATCACAGCTCGGAGGAGACTTTGGCAAAGTTTACCTTCTGCAGCAACGTGATGCTCGAGTATTGTGGAAAAGACTGTTCAACATGCCTTAGAACACCGATTCCTGTCTATCATTGATCAGACTGTTGCAGATGTTGAGTACTGTATATTAAGGGAAAAAAGTAGCCAATATTATTTTTTATTATATATATTTAATGTTTTAAAAAGAATGCACTTTTTTTGGTTATTAAGCATAGGTTTGTTACTGGTGGTTTTGTTTACAAATGTTCAGTGTTCTTGCTGCTGCTGGTTTTTTTTTATGAGTTTTTTTGATACTTCTTCAATTGTATTTGAGTGGTTGTATGTAGCTGATATTGGAGCCTATTTTTGTATGAATTGTAACTGACAAGACAAATGACTCCGTTTGTCTTTCTCTCAAGCCTGTTTTGTGAAACGGATTGGTACTCTCAGTGAACAAAAATGCAGTCAACCATCTGTCTACTCCCCGGTTTTTTCTGACTTAAGTGCCGTTTCGTAATTATATCCGTTTTGTAATCATGTTATAGATTTTCCTTGCTCCAGGGTGGGTAGAGAGAGTACACATTACTTCTGCAGGTGCACCCATTTCAAGACGAGCTGCAGTTGCTCAGCGGTGCCCGGAGCTGCTGTCAGAAGCAGGTGCATCTACGCCACGCCCTTAGAGACACACAGACCTGCGCGGCGCTTGTCATCTCTCTTCCGAACACTGAGTCAGGGATGCGAGGCTGGGTAGAACTTCGTCCCTGCCCTTTAGGATTTTGTCTCATCCGTATAAAACTGAACATAAGGTATTTACAGACTTAAATCGTGGGAAACTACTGTTAATGAACAATGTGATTTTAGTAATAATAAAATCATAGACATCAATTAAAAAGGCGAGGCAAATCGCTAAACTGTTACGAATTTATTTTTCCTATATTCTTTTATTTATATGCTTTCTTGAGACACGCGAGTCTGTTTTTGTTTGTTTGTTTGTTTCCCTTCTACCTCCTGTATACTCTCACCTACTTGAGAGGGGTCCTGGGTCCGGGTCCCTTTCCGGCACATCTTTGCCCAAACCCCATCCAGTCGTGTGTGTGTGTGTGTGTGTGTGTGTGTGTGTGTATTGTATTCAGTAGGATAATATCGAGCAAATGAAAGAAATGAGTGTGTCTACCAATCCCACCAATCTCATCCTGTCACTTGTTTTCATATCCTAGATGCACCTGGGACTGTGCTCTCATTTAGTGTTTAAGCCAGGCCTCTCTCTCTCTCTTTTTAAGATTTTATTTATTTATTTGAAAGAGAGAGCACAAGCAGGGGGAGTGGCAGAGAGAGAGAGAGAGAGAGAGAGAGGGAGAAGCAGGCTCCCCACTGAGCAGGGAGCCTGATGCAAGGCTCGATCCTAGGACCCTGAGATCATGACCTGAGCCGAAGGCAGACGCTTAACCACCTGAGCCACTCAGTCAACCCAAGCCAGGTCTCTTTCAAATAGAAATTTAGGTACATGGGATAAGATAAATAAGATCAAACTTAAAGCAGTGTTTTATTCCTACCTGTAGCTTATATTCATTCCTTCTTAGGAATCAAGAGTCAGAGTGCTCTGTTAATAATCCTTATACCATCTCTATGAGTTTGTGGCAGCGTCTTCATTTCACAAGCAAGACAACAGGCTGAGAGAAGAGAAATGACCTAAGTCCCCAGAGGTGGTGTACGGGAGAGCTAGCTTTGGCATTTGAGTCCGCCTGCCTCCAAAGCCCACATTCCTAGCCCCTACCCACGTGGTACCGTTTTGAGATAATAGAAGCAAAACCAATCCGAGCTTGTAAGTGCTGGTCAAACCTTAGCGAGCGCCATGGGGCTGAGGGCTTTCTCACTCGTGCTCTTGTGTTGATTTGAGGAACATTCTGCAGTTTCCTCACTACCCGAAGGGCTGTGTGTCCAGGCTGCTGTGTTCGCCAGGCACCGGAATGTGGACATGTGGGAGACACATCTCTGATGTTGAGGAAGGAGGAGTGCCCAGCAGCTGCCAGGAAGTGATGCCTTTGATTTTTTATTTTGAGGAAGAATGAGGCAGTATGAATAGCCACTCTGTGGGTTTGGCTGAGACTCAGTCCCTCTCTACTGTGGTCACAGATGTTTCTTCCCAGTGAGGTGCCCGTTAGAACCCAGAAGTGGCCTCAGGGCATGTGCAGCAGCCTGTGGGGAAGTGATCAGTTGTGACATACATTGTCCTTTAATGGGCCTGACTCACTGCCCTGGTTTTTCCGTGCAACTCCTCCCTGGCTGCCAGAGGAAGATGAAGACTTGGTCTTTCTCATCAGACTCGTACCTGCTGTGAGGTAGCAAGTTGCTGTGCTGTGATCCCAATGATCGGTTTTAACTTTACACTGATCTCTTGGAAAATTCCAGTAACATATCCTTTATAGTCATGATTCTCAGCTGCAGGAGGGAGTTATACTGAGGGATATGGAGCGAGGAGGAGTGAGAAGGAGGAGTGAGACATCTCAGAGATATTCTAGTGGGTTGACTTGGTGAGAATTAAGGGATGGATTCCCAGATCTGCCGCTTTGTATTCGTGGGACTCTGCAAGCTCCTTAAACGCTCCGTGCGCTCCCGCCTCTGTAAAATGGGGGGTAATGAGCATATGCAGTTGCTGTGAGGATTGGATGTGGAAATGAAGCACGCAGCAGAGGGCCTCTTACAAGCAATTATTAAGTGGTAATAATCAGGTCAAGACAAATTAAAAACGGAGTTATACCAACTATTTTCTGTGTCTCTCTGAGTAAATTACTCTGTGTCTCCGTTTAATATCCGGATTAGAACGATATCTATTATTGTGGGTTGAATTGTGTCCCCCTGTCCCCCCCCCCCCCCCAAAAAAAGTTGAAGTTTCACTTCAGGTACGTTTGAATGTGGCCTTATTTGGAAATAGGTCGTTGATGATGTGATTAAGATGAGGTCATGCTGGATTGGGGCGAATCTTGATCTAATGACTGGTGTTCTTATAAGAAAAGGGAAATCTGGACGGAGATACCGACACGGAAGCCCCAGGGTTAGAATGCCTGCCATGGGGCCATGCGTCTAGAAGCCAAGGAACATGGAGGCCTGCAGGCAAGCAGCAGACCCTAGAAGGGAGGCATGGAACAGATTCTCCCTCAAAGCCTCAAGAAGGAACCCCACCCTGCAGACATCTTGACTTCGGACTTCTAACTTCCAGAATGGTGAAAGAATAAATGCCTGTTGTCTTAACCACTCGATTTGTGGTCATTTGTTGCCACAGCCCTGGGAGACAAATGCACCAACATTTGGGGGCATCAGGAGGGCTAGATGACGAGTGAGCGTCACAGTTTCTGATGTCCTCCAGGTCTCCATCTCTTCCCTTCAGACGTCAAGACTCAGAGAATGGAGTCTGAACGGTAACAATGGCATGGAAACTATAGCATCTCTCGACCTGTGGGTGTCTGTACGGATAGAGATACCCACGCACATGGCAATGGGGACCAAGCACCGCCATCACCTCTCCTACTCCGATCCTTGAGAACTGGAGAGAACCACTGACCTCAGGTGCCCGGGGATAGCCATGAGCTTCGAAGGTGCTGGTTTGAATCGTCGTGGGGTTGGCTGGGGGAAGTGGCTCTTACCTCACATTAGCAAATGAATCTGTCTTGATTTTTGGATTTCACAGAAATCAGAATATACCTTCAGACCCATCTCGAGGGGGCATTGATGGCAAGTGTTCAAAAGGCCCTCCTTTCCCTCGTTGCCTACACAGGCTGGAGGGGCACTGGCGCTCGCAGCTGGCCACACTCATGGGGTCTGCATGTAATGGGGACGGGGTCTAGCAGCCCTGCCCTATCCCAGGTCTCTGTGGAGGACCTCAGAGGGGGAAAGAGACTGTCAAATAGAAGACGTTGTGGTGTCCTGTGGAGTAACTGGTTGGGGACAAAGGGGGTCACTTCCATAGCTCTTTGCTGTAGCTGCTTAGAAAGTCAGCCTAAGGCTCCAACTTCAGATCAAGTCTGAGGCATCACTGGGACACCCGTGAGGCAGGGGAGAAGATCTATGTTGCTGTGGAGAAAGATCCATTACAAAGACCATGAAGGAGATAAGCAGAACGTGTGTCAAATTATTAACTGGAGTAGCCCAGAGGCAGTGTGATAGACAAGCACCGAACTGAGGGATTTGGCTGGGGAGGAAGCCAGAAAGGTTAGCAGGACCCAGAACGTGAAGCCTAGAGAACATGGAGCCTAGTGAATATGGCAGGCTTTGGATTCTGAAGGAGGCAGGGAAGCTTTGAAGGATTTTGAGAGAGGCTCACAACTCACCCTATACTCAGGAATGTAATGCTGGGTCAGGGTTGAGGATGGATGGGAGCCGGGAATTAGAGGCTGACCAGCAGAGAAGGTGAGGCTTGGAACCCGGGCTGCCATGGAAGAAACGGGAAAGGAAAGAGGCTCGAAAAGGCAGAGGGAGAACTGGCAGGAAGGTAATGAGGCCCTCCTTCTCAGGCATAGAATTCGGAGGACCCTGAAAACTCAAGATTCAAGAGAAATCATGTTTTGTGCAATATTTTTAGAAATTAATGTCAAAAAATTAATGTTGAATAAAATATCAACATTTCAAATAAAGACAGGATCTTACCGTGCCCGGGCTCACCTCGGCCCCACGCATCTGCCCGAACCCCAGCCCGGGGTGGGGGGGTGGTGGAGGGACACAGGAGACCCTGTGGCCACCGGCAATATGTTGAGAACTGAGGCGGCTGGGCAGGAGGTAGGAGGGGAAAGGCCCCACTAACCTTTGCAGAGCCCATGCCAGAAAGCAAATGCAGGCCCTCATACCAGATACTTAAATATGTAAAAATTATACTAGATTTATTTTATCCTCCTACCGCGATGCATAGCTCTTCATCAGGACCCAGGAAGACAGGTTTGAATTGAGAACCTCCGACTCTTTGGTGCCCTGCTCTGGAACTCGAGGACTTAGGCTAGCTGAGGCCTGGCATCCTTCCCTTCCTGCCTCTGGCTCCATCCCACTGGCTGCTGCTCCCTGGTCTTGGTGGGGGCAGCACAGTCCACCTTCAAGAGACTGGACCAAGGGCAAGGTCCAGACTGTCTACTGTAAGTGGTCTGGGGCAACAGGACAGGCAATCCCGGGGTGCACAGAACACCCGATCTAAGCACAGTGACCCCAGGTGGGGGGAAGGTGGGGCAAGATGAGGGGGAGGGGCAGCCCTGGGACCTAGAAGCCTGGAGGCACAAGCAGAGGCCTGGAAAGTGTGGAGGAAAGTGCAGAATTCCTCTAAGCTCTGTGCCTAATTTCTTGGATTCTTAGTCCTCTTGACTAAGAGCTGCCCCTAAGTGCGGAAGCAGAAGAGACGGCTTTTCTCAGTTTTACGCTGAGGTTTCCCATTTGTGTTTACAACCTACCTGCTGTGACACCCATCACGAAAGCCCTAGATTAGTTTCTGGTGAAGTGAAAAGGGCCGTTTCTCCTTTCACACCAGCTGGGAAACTTGCTTATCTAAAGACAGAGATCCTTCAATGTTCATTTTAAGGAAGCGAGCTTATGAAGGATGTTGACAAAGGAGACACTGTAATTCTTGATTTCATCCTCTTTTGGAGATGACCGGAGAAGGCTCATGACCTAGGCGTTCTCTGTGCCGTGTTGGGCTGATGTCTAACCAACAGAGACCTGTGGCAGGCCTGAGATCCCAGTTCCTCCCAGTCATGTCTGCAAGGTTCTTCCACCCGGGGTGTGGGTGGGGTGGGAGGGGGCAATTCGTGGAGACATTAGATCACCAGCCCCGGGGTCCAGAGTACCCCTGTGCTCTAGCTTGCCACTCACAGACTTTGCCACCACCCCAGGCAGGGATAGAGAAGCTTCTAGTTGCTCATTTGAGGAGAGTCCCCTT